TCTTACCCACTTAGCCACGTGACCCCCTCCCACATTGAAAAGAAAAGACACAAGCAAAGAACTAAATGTTAGCCCAGAAGTTACCCGGTTTGTGTTGAGTGGACATTAAACCCCATTTTTCTCATATACAAACACAAAATGTGCAGTGTGCTGTGGGAAATTTTACCTTGACAGCTGCCATATGACCTACTCTGCCATGGATTCTTTTACATGCTGGTTTCGATTCCCCGGTTGTACGTGACAAGGAGTAGGGTCGCCTGTCCAACCTCGTGGGTTTTCTCCGGGTCCTCCGGTTTCCTCCCACTGCTAAAGACCCCTATGCACAAGCGAATTAATGAAATAAAATTATACCATATGTTAGTCCCGAAATGACCTAGTTTGTGTCGAGTGGACATTAAACCCCATTTTTCTCTCTCTCTGTCAGACAATTTTGGAGAATGCACAGACAGCGGTGCTATATGAACAGTATGAACAACTAGATGCTGTTTCTTGCCAGGACCTCTGTCCAACACCACTGTCAATGGTAAATTATTCCGGAAATCCTGAGTAATTTTGTTGACATGCTGGGATCCAACCTGGGATAATTGAAGCATTTATTCTTAACCCATTACATATGCCATACAGTGTGCAATGAGGCACTAAGGCCTTATCTTATTTCAAAATCCAACTGTCCAACTTTTACATGCACGCCAATGTGCATGTGTGATGTCAGGTTTTTTGTTGTTGTGCCATTCGCATGACTATACAACTGTTTCCTCCTGGTCCCCATGGTTTTCTCCCACTGCAAAAGACCCCTACAGCCAAATAATTGAAAAAAAATTGATCCATGTGTTAGTCCTGCTATGGCGTAGTTTGTGTAGAGTGGACATTAAACTTCATTTCTCTCTCTTCTTGCCAGGCCCTATGTCCTGCACCACTGGAAAGGGGGAACCAAGGCTAAAAATCTAGAAGAGCTTTCCTGGGCAATGACAGGATCGAACACGGGACGACTCGGATAGTGTGCCAACGTCTCACTCACTGATTGGGGGTGGATGACCAAATGGTTAGCACGTGCGCGCTGTATCATAAAGTCTGTCATTGAGTCAACTGGCGTGGTTTCGATTCCCCGGTCGTATGTGACCAGCAACCTCGTGGGAATAACTATTCATATTTTAATGGCTAAACGATAAGGGAGAGAGAGAGAGAAATGGGGTTTAACGTCCACTCGACACAAACTAGGTCATTTCGTGACTAACATATGGTTTAATTTTATTTACATAATTCGCTTGCGCGTAGGGGTCTTTAGCAGTGGGAGGAAACCAGAGGACCCGGAGAAAACCCACGAGGTTGGACAGGCGACCCTACTCCTTGCCACGTACAACCGGGGATTCGAAACCACGCCAGTTGACTCAATGACAGACTTTATGATACAGCGCACGCACGCTAACCATTCAGCCATCCAACCCCCGGGCTAAACGATAAAGAAAGACAACCTGGGCGACTAATAAACACGGCAATTTGTTCTGTTAATCTGGATATTTTACTGTATAAACGAGAAAGAAAAGTGACTTGGGTGACCCTACTCCCCGGTTGTACGTGACAAGGAGTAGGGTCGCCTGTCCAACCTTGTGGGTTTTCTCCGGGTCCCCCGGTTTCCTCCCACTGCTAAAGACCCCTACGTGCAAGCGAATTATTGAAATAAAATTGAACAAAACAAATTTGGTTTTGTAAAATAAAAAGTTACTGTAGGCCCTATTGAAATTTTCTCTTTCAGTATTTGACCAAATTTGTTATTGATGATGACAAAATTTGGTTTTGATACCATAAATTAACCTTCCAATACACCTATGTAAACTTTTGATAATACCGGGGGTGGGTTTTGGATGGCTGAATGGGTAGTGTGAGTGCGTTGTATCATAAGGTCTGTTATTGAGTCAACTGGCATGGTTTTGATTCCCCAGTTACGTGACTAGGAGTAGTCGCCTATCCAACCTTGTGGGTTTTCTCCGGGTCCTTCGGTTTCCTCCCACTGCAAAAGACACCTACGTGCATGCCCAAATTATTGAAATAAAATTGAACCACATGTTAGTCTCAAAAAGACATTAAGTACGTCTGTAGTCTATATTAAAATTGCGAGAATCTGTCATTTAAAAAAAACCAGTCCTAGGCCTACGTAGGCCCTGAAATGAAATGAAATGGGGTTTAACGTCCTACTGTTCTGCTCCTGGTTTTGATTCCCCAGTTACATGACTAGGAGTAGTCGCCTGTCCAACCTTGAGGGTTTTCTCCGGGTTCTCCAGTTTCCTCCCACTGCTAAAGACCCGTACATGCGCAAATTATTGAAATAAAATTGAACCATATGTTAGTCTCAAAAAGACATTAAGTAGGTCTGTAGTCTATATTAAAATTGTGAGAATCTGTCATTTAAAACAAAAACATTCCTAGGCCTACGTAGGCCCTGAAATGAAATGAAATGAAATGAAATGGGGTTTAACATCCGGCTACTCCTAACATGGACTAATGAAGACGGGCATACACCATACAGTGTGCTATGAGGGAAATTTTGCCCGGGCAGCAGCGCTACGGCCTACTCTTATATCGAATTCCAACTGCTAAGGTTTTTCGTCCCATCCGAACGACTAGACAGCTCTCCTTGTCAGGCCCTCCGTCCTGTATCACTGACAAGGGGAAACCACGCCGGAAAATTGGGATGAACTTTCTCGGCCAATGCAGGGATTGAACACCCGACCTCCAGGCTAGCAAGCCAGTGTCTTACCCACTTAGCCACATGATCCCCGCGTAGGCCCTAGGCCTACACCTATCATATTTTCAATGACATCAAAATTTCAGAAACTATAATTCATGAAAAGTTAAAATATTGAACAAAAATGTTTTGATACAATAATTAACATTTGCTTTGGAAGAAATGTAAAAAGATTACAAAAAATATTGACATTTAGACATTGCTAAAATTTGCTTATTATTATTATTACAGCATATTTATAGTGCTCTGGGGACAGGGTGTTAATGTTAACAGTTGTATGTGTTATATGGTCCATGGTATAGAGTACCGGTACTAAAATACAACAGGGTCAGTTAGAATCCTGTTTAAATATGTGTTTTTATAGGGTCGCCTGTCCAACCTTGTGGGTTTCTCCGGGTCCCCCGGTTTCCTCCCACTGCTAAAGACCCCTACGTGCAAGCGAATTATTGAAATAAAATTGAACAAAACAAATTTGGTTTTGTAAAATAAAAAGTTACTGTAGGCCCTATTGAAATTTTCTCTTTCAGTATTTGACAAAATTTGGTTTTGATACCATAAATTAACCTTCCAATACACCTATGTAAACTTTTGATAATACCGGGGGTGGGTTTTGGATGGCTGAATGGTTAGCGTGAGTGCGTTGTATCATAAGGTCTGTTATTGAGTCAACTGGCATGGTTTTGATTCCCCAGTTACGTGACTAGGAGTAGTCGCCTATCCAACCTTGTGGGTTTTCTCCAGGTCCTTCGGTTTCCTCCCACTACGTGCATGCCCAAATTATTGAAATAAAATTGAACCACATGTTAGTCTCAAAAAGACATTAAGTACGTCTGTAGTCTATATTAAAATTGCGAGAATCTGTCATTTAAAAAAAAACAGTCCTAGGCCTACGTAGGCCCTGAAATGAAATGAAATGGGGTTTAACGTCCTACTGTTCTGCTCCTGGTTTTGATTCCCCAGTTACGTGACTAGGAGTAGTCGCCTGTCCAACCTTGTGGGTTTTCTCCGGGTCCTCAGATGGGAAGAAAAAAACGAGGTCCGGTGTACACATTGGCGTGCACGTAAAAGATCCCTCGACAGTTGGAATTCGATATAAGAGTAGGCGATAGTGCCGCTGCCCGGACAAAATTTCCCTCATAGCACACTATATATTATTAAAATTGCGAGAATCTGTCATTTAAAAAAAAAAACAGTCCTAGGCCTACGTAGGCCCTGAAATGAAATGAAATGGGGTTTAACGTCCTACTGTTCCGCTCCTGGTTTTGATTCCCCAGTTACATGACTAGGAGTAGTCGCCTGTCCAACCTTGAGGGTTTTCTCCGGGTTCTCCAGTTTCCTCCCACTGCTAAAGACCCGTACATGCGCAAATTATTGAAATAAAATCGAACCATATGTTAGTCTCAAAAAGACATTAAGTAGGTCTGTAGTCTATATTAAAATTGCGAGAATCTGTCATTTAAAAAAAAACATTCCTAGGCCTACGTAGGCCCTGAAATGAAATGAAATGAAATGGGGTTTAACATCCGGCTACTCCTAACCTGGACTAATGAAGACGGGCATACGCCATACAGTGTGCTATGAGGGAAATTTTGCCCGGGCAGCAGCGCTACGGCTTTTTTTATATCGAATTCCAACTGCTAAGGTTTTTCGTCCCATCCGAACGACTAGACAGCTCTCCTTGTCAGGCCCTCCGTCCTGTATCACTGACAAGGGGAAACTTTCTCGGCCAATGCAGGGATTGAACACCCGACCTCCAGGCTAGCAAGCCAGTGTCTTACCCACTTAACCACATGATCCCCGCGTAGGCCCTAGGCCTACACCTATCATATTTTCAATGACATCAAAATTTCAGAAAGTATAATTCATGAAAAGTTAAAATATTGAACAAAAATGTTTTGATACAATATTTAACATTTGCTTTGGAAGAAATGTAAAAAGATTACAAAAAATATTGACATTTAGACATTGCTAAAATTTGCTTATTATTATTATTATTTCTGTTTATTAATATTATACTATTATTATTATTATTACAGCATATTTATAGTGCTCAGGGGACAGGGTGTTAATGTTAACAGTTGTATGTGTTATATGGTCCATGGTATAGAGTACCGGTACTAAAATACAACAGGGTCAGTTAGAATCCTGTTTAAATATGTGTTTTTAAGTTGTTTTTTTTAAATGAATATATAAAGATGGAGGCCTACAACATCTTAAACTAAATTTTTAATTGTAGGTCTAGCTGTAATTAAATTAGCCTATTAGTATTATCAAAATGGCGATTAAGTATTTAAAAATATTGTTGACCTATTTATTTTTGTGGGTGTGTGGGTGTTACTGTGTGTGTGACCCAGATGCTTCGACGTCTCAAGCGAAATATAGCTAGTTCATGCAAGTTGTTAACATATTGGAAAACAATGTTTTGATACATAATTCCACATTTGTTTAAGAACTAGTTTTATAACCAAACACAAACAAAAGAATTTCTGTTAATAATAATGATACCGGTAGTAAACAAATGATTTTTAAATTTTTTTTTTTTTTTACTCGTATTTTCTTAAGATCGCTAGGATTGGTCAACAATGACGTAAGTTAAGTTTAATCCAATCGTAGCCTTCGTCTCATGTTATGGCCGCCATCTTTGTCTTTTCGCTAACTTGATTGATACTGTCAATGAAAACAGTTTAAGTTTAAGGTAAGTTATTGTAATATTTCTCAAAGTTTTAATTGTTGTAAAGATCAGTTTTTTTTATAGCTAGCTAGTTTAATGATTAGCTACAAATTATCAGTAACAAAATATCTAATCGCAGAAAAATAAGTTCACTGTGATCATGACTCGCACACAATAATAATTTGGATTTGGTGTCATGGCGTCGAAATCATGACCATTTCATTGATTGATGTAGTAAAATGTACACTGCTATGAGGTAGCCTAGCCCATGTTACCTGTTTAGAACACCCAATTATTTATAATTTGACGATTTGTCCCAGAAAATTCTTAGTTTAATTTGAACTAGATCTATGCAGAGAATTATTTATTCATTTCATGGCATACCATTGCCAATGCCATTCATTCAACATTTACATTCACATTGGCATTGTCGAATTGATGATTGCATTACCATTAGGCCTAAGTAATTAGTATAATATAAAAATTATGATTAACATTAACAACCTGTATTATTTTCGTGTGCACTCTTATTTTCACTCCATTCATGCATTTTTTTAAAAGTTACTAAAGCTTTGTTGTGATTTTGCCCTGTAATTGTATCAGTATAGGCCTAATACAGGTGTCCGTTGGGATAACCGGGACTACTTCCACCTATGAGTCCCGTGCTACCAGCAGGATTTAACCTATATATTGATGTTTTGCCGTAGCAGCGGCTCAGATTATGCTTTAGACTTCAAATAGGTAACATTGTTATTCTTGCGGACGCCTTGGAACAGCAAGTGGGACTTGGTACTTGTAGAATTCTAGAAATACCTTCGATCACTATAGCTTATTAATTATGTCCTGTAAAATTATTAATTAAAATATTATTTAGTTACAGTACTAAGTTTAAGTAGTCACAAATAAGCAGTACAAGAATGATTACTCTTACTGCAATTTGTTAAACATATAGGAAAAAATCGCAGAGAGTATTTCGGTACAGTAACTGAAAAAAAGATAATTAAAATAATTTTTAGATTAAAAAAAGAGTAATGTTTGGCCCATTGGGGAATATTAAAATAGTAGATCGAATAGTAGACGTGCTGCATCATACCACAACTTTGGTGAATTTTGTGGGCACAGTAACAAATTTAGGCGCCATGGGTGTGTGGACAAGTTGACCAATGCTGTGACATTTGTGGACGACATAACTAGACTTTTTGTGTGAACGAGTTAACTGGCATTCGTTTTGAATGATTAAAGTTGTTTTCGGTAAATTTAAACTGCGGTACACTGTACCAGTACTTGAAAAAAAAGGGAATTTATTTCATCTTTATTTTCTTTAAATTTTTTCAGAGCCTGTAAATTAATAATTCACCAGTGCCGGTATGTGAAAAATGTGTCGAGACAAGATGGTAAATTGAAGTAAACTTATTCTGTCACCCTACATGTCTGTTATTCTATACATGGGCCGATGATCTGAAATCCGTTAGTTCATAGTTCAATGGTTCTTGAGGTTGATACATGGTTGGGCGGCCTGAGAATCTGAAAGTCAGTTATAGAGATTACCCCTCAGTACTGCTGTCCAATAATCATACGTTCCCCAATTCCTGGTAGTTTAAAAGCAGCTAATGGCCCGTAAATTTAAATCTTTCAAGCTTTTATTCCGATGGTCCCAATATTGAATAATTTTTCACGTAGAAATAACATGGATTCCACCCTCGCCACTGATACAGTTCTGGGTTCGATCCCAGTGTTGCCAAGTAAGTTCCTCAGAATTTCCTGGCATGATTTCTCCTTGTCAGATTCAGATAGGACAAAAACCAGGGTCTCTTGGACATGTTGGAGGACACGTAAAAGAACCTTTGGCAGTTGGAATTTGTTATAAAAGGCTGCAACTCTGCTGTCCAAACAAAAATTCCCTCAAAGCAACAGAAACCCAAATGGTCATAGGCCACTGCATAGCTATGTTCATCTTCATTCAACCCCATTTCCCTTTTTTTTCAGAAAAATTCAAATTTTAAAGTAAAGAATTCAAAGATGTGTATGACATGATGCGAAAAACTCATTACGGTACCTTATACATGTGTAGGTAATATTTAAATTGATTTTTAAGAAAATTTTCTTCACAGGTCAAATTTAGCCTAGAACATTGTAAATAATTAGGCTTAGTAAGACGCAGGCACCCTAACCAAGAAGTCTTTGGTTTGCCAAGAAAGTTCCTCCGGATTTTCTGGAGCGAGAGCCTGGCAAGGACAGTATCCAGTTGTTCAGAATCAGATGGTACAAAAAAACAAGGTCCATTGGTGTAAAAGAACCCGTGACAGAATTCAATATAGTAGGCTTTAGCGGAGTGGTTCTGGGCAAAATTTCCCTTATACATGTAGGTCACGGTATGGCATATATCTGTATTCATTAGTCTGGTGGGTGCATAAAAGTAGACATTAAATTATTATGCTTGGGATTGTTGCTGGTAAATAAAACATGACACATTCCTAACACAACATTAACTTCTTAGGGTAAGTAGTTCAATGATTTCACTTGCCTGAAAATGAAACTGATTGCCCAAATGTACAAATTGCATCAATTTTGCTTTGTGTGATAATTAAGCCATATAGGTGGGATTGTTGATGTAGTCTGATAAAAAATCTCCAGTTAACTTTTAATGTCGATACCTGATCCTTTTTAAAAAAAAAAGTATGGGGATTGTTCGTGAAATAGCTGCAATTAGGTTGTATCTTTTTCTCACTATACATGTAACCCATACCCTCATCTTTGAGAAGAATCATCCCATCTGATCTAAAAAGATAATTTTATGTTTTCAGATGGTGAGCTTGTGACCCGGATGGATGAATGATAGAAATACAAATAATGAGTGCTGTATACAGTATTTGGTATAAATCAGTCATTGAAAGTCATTACAGCTGAAGATTTTAATGCCGCCCAGTACCGGTACTAACAATGTTGATTACAGTCACTGGAAGATAATCCTTTGTAATCATCCACATTTTAATACAGTCGTATATTTCCGTCATCCACCCCTGTGGTCTGTCATCCATATTTGTCTTAGCACAATACAGGCCTTAGTTAATCCCCTTTCCTTCATGGATTAAAGCACCTGAATGTATTGAAAAAATCACATTTTGAGCTTGTGAAACCTCCAGGAATCACAATTTTTATCTGAATTTAAAAAAACGTTCAACTATATCACCGTTACATCTTAATAACAGTTGAGCTCAAATTTCACGAAAATCAGACTGAAATTGCCCAACAAAATAGCCAAGGTTTTGGACCCATCTAGAGGTCACAATTTTGAACTTAAAGAAATGAAATGAAATGGGGTTTAACGTCCTACTGTTCTGCTCCTATACTGGGCTAATGAAGACGGGCATACGCCATACAGTGTGCTATGAGGGAAAGTTTGCCCGGGTAGCGGCACTATCGCCTACTCTGATATCGAATTCCAACTGCCAAGGGATCTTTTACGTGCATTCCAATGTATACACGGGACCTCGGTTTTTTGTCTCATCCGAAGGACTAGACAGCTGTCCTTGTCAGGCCCTCCGCTCTGCACCACTGACAAGGGGAAACCACTTCGGAAAATACCGGTGAACTTTCTCGGCCAATGCTTGAACTTAAAATGTATGTATATAACCCAAAGATCCCAGATCCTTTCAATATTCGCGCATATTGGATCGTAACTCCCTGGATTATGGCCACTGATTATACAAAAAATGGTGTTTTTAGCTTGTGATTGTCACAAATTTTATCCAATTTTAAAAACCGTTCAAATATATCACCATAACACCCTGATATTAATAATTTTGTGAAAATCTGACTGAAATTGCCTGCCAAACTGACCACGCCTCATACTCAAATAATATAACAAGAGTATGTAATACCAAGGTTTTGGGCCCTCTCGATGTCAAAATTTTTATACCTTTTGATGAAACTTTAAATTTATTTTATAACCCAAAGATCTGAGTTTCTTTTGATATTCACGCAAATGGGATGGTAACTTTTGGCCCATGATTGTACGAAAAATCATGTTTTTAGCTTGTGGTCTGTCTAGAGGTCAAAATATTTATCCGATTAAAAAACATCTAAACATCACCGTTTTACCATAAGGACGACTGAGTTTAAATTTCATGAAGATCGTACCGAAACTGCCAGACAAATTGACCGCTCCCTGTACGGAAATAGTGTAAAATTATGTAATACTAATGTAGTGGGCAGTAGAGGTCACGCTTTTTATCCGATTTGGATGAAACTTGAAATGTATGTTTATATCCAAAATAGATCTGATTAAAACACAGTTCAAAATTTCGTTTTATCCGTCTTGACTACACTACACTGAAAGAGTTGTAATTTAACCCACATTCTGGATGTTGTGAGGGGTTAGCCAATGAAAGGTCAGTTACGGCGAGTTTTTGGTTGTGGTGCACAGAGCTGTGGGTAACCCACTAGAAACATCAAATACTGATTGGTTAATCAAATGTCTGACATCATAGGGTCAAAAGCCACTTGTATGACCCCTAATGCGACCTTCCACTACAACCTGTCAGATCTTCATGTAGTGTAGACTATCGAAAGTATAAAAAAAACTGTATTTTAATCAAATTGTATCCCAAAGATCTCATTTCCTGATCGCATGAAAAATTGCATTTTTAGCTTGTGGACCCTTTAGAGTGACAATTTTTATTATAAAACTTGAAATGTATGTTTATATCCCAAAGATCTCGGTTCATTAGAATATTCGGGCATATTGGACCAAAACTTATGATTATGGTGCCTGATTGTACAAATCACATTCTAGAGATCACAATTGTTATCCAATTTTGATGAAACTTAAATCGCTTTTTAGGCTTGTTCTCTCTCCACGTCTTACAAAATGTAGGTGTATCTTGCATGGCATCTGCTTGTTTTCACTGTGTCTCTTAGTGTTTCCATGAGAATCTGGGGGGTTGGATGGCCGACTGGTTAGCTCATAATGTCTGTCATTGAGTTACCTGGCATGGTTTCGATTCCTCAGTTGTATGTGATGAAGTGCAGGGTCAACTGTCCAATCTCATGGGTTTTCTCCGGTTTCCTCCCACTGCTAAAGACTACTACGTGCTATCGAAATAAAATGGAACCATATATTAGTCCCGAAATGTCCTAGTTTGTATCGAGTGGACGTTAAACCCCATTTCTCTACTTTCCATATCCAAACTTACCATATTTTATTCGAAATAATCTCCCTATTATTACTTTTTTCGGAATGCATCTTTAACTGAACATTTTTTTGTTTTAATTTCAGGTTAATCAAACCAGAATGACAACACCTATGAATGTGGCCGAATAAGGTGTGGAGGTGATTAATTGCAACATTGAATGCGGGTTGAATATGGTGTGTTAAAGATGCAAGAAAACACATGAAATGTGTAAACTGTAATGGATTATAGCCTGGCGCTATCCAAATTACAAAACACCTGCCCTTGAGTCTATGATTATTTATATTTTATGGCACCAGAATGACAGCACGTATGAATGTGGCCGAATAAGGTGTGGAGGTGATTAATTGCAACATTGAATGTGGGTTGAATATGGTGTGTTAAAGATGCAAGAAAACACATGAAATGTGTAAACTGTAATGGATTATAGTCTGGTGCTATCCAAATTACAAAACACCTGCCCTTGAGTCTATGATTATTTATTTTTTATGGCACCCACATTTTCATGTCGCTGCCCCTGTGCGTCCAGATGTACCTCCGGTGAAATTTGTTTGTGGACAACTCTACTGGTCACAATTATCTTATTTTAATGAAATTTAAATGTATATTTATATTCAAATCATCTGGGATCGGATTCATTTTGAACACTAACCTCATGGATTATGGCCCCTTATATTGTGCAAAAATTGGGTTTTTAGAATGTAGGCCATCCAGATGATTTTGGCATATATTGGACCGTATCTTCCTAGAATATTACACCTGATTGTACGATCCATTGTTTTTAACTTCTGGATCCTCTAGAATTCTCAGTTTTATATGCCAACATTTCCCATGCCCGAATTAACCCCTCTTTGCAGAAGATTTGGCTTTCGAGTTCAGAGTTATGTCCCATAGCCAAAAACTTTGAATTTGATAGGAGTTACAGTTTTTAACCGATCCTTTTCAGATTTAGTGTGAAGCATTGGATTCATGAGATCACAAACCCCCACGATATGCAGCGATTCGAAGATAACCTTTTCAAAAAAGCATGTGAATGTGATGAGGCTACAATTTTTTAATTTGCCGTGTAGCATTGGGACCCCGAGAGGACAAATCCTATAAATTTCAGCAATCCACACTTAACCCACTTTTTCGGAAACCATGTGAACGTGAAAAGGCTAAAAAAAAATTTTAACAGATTTTTTTCTAATTCTATATGAAACATTGGGACAATGAGTGATTAGCCTATTGATATTCCTTATTCTCTTTTGCAATATGTGGGGGTATCTTAGATGGCAACCACTTGTTTATTGTATCAATTGTGTTGTAATATTTTGAAAACAATAATAAATAATAAATATCAAAGTGTTATTTTGTTTCATGTTTGCGGTTTTTCAGCATAACTAGGATTATACAGGGTGCTATGAGGGAAATTTAGCCCAGATGTGGCTTTTCTGAATTGTCCTCTTTTAATTACACAGGTTTCTTTTTTTTACATGGACGACAATTTCTACATGGAAATTTGACTTTTCAGCCGCATCACTATCATAACCAAACACCATCCTTTGCCAGGCCCTAGATCCACTAATCAGGCGAACGGTGCAGAAAATCCTGGGAGGGTGGGGTAACTTTCATCACCGACACTGGGATCAAATACAGCCCTCACCCTCACCTGGTTTGTGAGCTAGGCCTCATACTGTTGGAAGTCTGCAAACTTACTGGGTAGAAGTGATAATAACCAATAAGCACTGGGTCAATGTGAGAAATACACCCGAAAAGCACTGGGTTGAAGTGAGAAAAAAACTCGATAAAGACTGGGTTGAAGTAATCAAAACACTACATAAAAACTGGGTTGAAGTGAGCAAAACACTCGATAAACACTGGATTGAAAATAGCAAAACACTCCATAAGCAACGAGTTGAAGTGAGAAAAACACTCCATAAGCACCGGTTTGAAGTGAGAAAAACAACCAATAAGCACCTGATAAGCACTCGGTTGAAGTGAGAAAAACACCTGATAATCACTGGGTTGAAGTGACAAAAACACCTGATAAGCATTGGGTTGAAGTGAGAAAAGCACCGGTTTGAAGTGAGCAAAACACTCAATAAGCACTGAGTTGAAGTGAACAAAACACTCAATAAGCGCTGGGTTGAAGTGAGCAATACACTCGATAAGCACCGAGTTGAAGTGAGAAAAATACCCGATAAGCACTGAGTTGAAGTTAGAATAACACCCAATAAGCACTTGGTTGAAGTGAACACTTCGTTGAAGCCTAATTTGCATATTTGGCATGGCTTCTTCCCTTCCTCACTTCAACATCATTTCTGCCTTCTTTATTTCATTGAAAATTTGAAGTGTTGTTACGGAAGTGTGGTAGAAATGAACACTTCAGATATCAAATTTTTCACTTCAAGCACGTCTGGGTTTAGTGTCACCCACACTTCATATGGGTGGCGTCATCACTTCATTTGCGTGAGGGTGGGCTCTTTATTTTATTTTCACTTTACATGTGTGCCCGAAAAGTCAGATTGCCCAAAGTTTAGGGGGGGGGGGCAGCAGACATCCCCACCCCATTTGTTCGTACGCCTATGGTTACATGCAATATACCTTTAAAGGATTAGACTATGATACAAGATGACAATTAATATCCCTTTAAGGTCCTAGACAATCCATTAACAAGTGGTAGATCAGGAGTCCGGGTGTGGGTGGGACAGTCTAGATGGAAAATGTACCAATTTTTACTTATATTTTATCATCAGACAGAATGTAAGTCAGCCGGGTATCTGGTGGTGGATGTGGCTTTGAGGGCTGAGATTCTGGACATGAATTCTTGAGTTAGATTAGCTCAAAAGTGTACCGCATGAAAATGGTGCAGCAGTGTACCTTACATCTTCAAGTATTACAAAAACACTCTGACAGACATTGTTAGTTGTGGGGTGCAATGGCTAAAGTTAGCTAAATAATTACACATACATAATTTGACATTTTAAGAATTTTGTCCACCGCCTTTCGAAGAAAGCCAAGTTTCAAGGTGAACCATTAGGAATTGTGGCCTGTAGGCAACACAGACAAATGTAAAAATGGGTGTGACTCTGCCCCTGGGGGTCACACATTCACCAATATGGATCCTCCTTAGGTTATAAGGAATATGTATGCAAAGTTTCAAAAGGATCTGTTTAGAATTGCCGCCTGTAGGTACCACACAGACCAAAAATAATAGAGGTCAACTTAGCATATAGGGAACATGTATGAAAAGTTTCAAAATGATCCGTAAAGAAATTGCGCCCTGTAGGCGACACACATACATACAGACACCCATCCACACACACAGACAGGGGCGATGGCATAGTAACTCCACGTTATAATTGGGTATAATGGAGATGGGGGCGATTGGTCAGCGCGTCGTGTTGTGTCATTAAGTCAACTTTCATGGTTTCGATTCCTCGGTTTTACGTGACAAGGAGTAGGGTCGCCTGTCCAACCTCATGGGTGTTCTCCGGGCCCTCCGATTTTCCTTCCACAGCTAAAGACCACTACGCGCAAGCGAATTATTGAAATAAAATTGATCCATATGTTAGTTTGTGTGTCGAGTGGACGTTAAACCCCATTTCTCTGTCTCACGTCCACATTATAAATGTTGACGTATAAAAAGAAGAATCCATACAAAACCAATAGTGTTTCGCACAAGCTACATAGAGTGACACCCTAATAAAGAGGCTTCGCAAATTGTTTGACTATGTTATATATTTGATGGGGAATATACGAACAAAAAAGAAACCCGGTCAGTTAAAAAATAACATCTAAATTTACGTGTGATTCACAATAGACACCGGATAATATTCGGGTAATACGATGTAGCAATTTATTATGTCCTGTGTGTTCGGAAGTAGAGTTGAAACCAGTGTTTTCCCATTTTTTTTAAGCGTCCTTACAACTATTCGCCCCGCAAAAAAACATGTTTCAATATGCGAGCTTCTAAATAAATATAATCTTATTGTGGTATTAATATGTCAACAGTTATTGGGCGCAGAGACCATTGTGGTAAATGTAACCAAATCTATGTTAATCATAAACATCTTTTTTACGATCCTCTATTTAATAAAGCCTTGTTAGTGTGGTTTAAAGATATTAAGTGGTAAAACTACACAGGAAGTTTTTCTCAGGGAATGCAGTCTACATGCATTAAGCAACGGGTGAATCGTAAAATCCCAGAGAATGTGGGTTTCGTGGATGTGGGTTTCGTGGAAACTGAAAACCCGGCGTATTACATTGATGATCTTTAAACAGGTACATTTAGGATGAATTCCGTACTGGAAATTAAACCACATTAACCCCTTTGCCACGACTAATCCAATTGAACGCCATTCAATTTTTTTCTGCAATCAATAGTGGGTGCCCCCCCCCACCCTGCATATACTGCTATCGGACATACAGCTCATCCCCACTAAGGTTCGTATAATTATGAAAATACTGTTGCATATTTAGAAGAGATTGCATTATGTAACTGCAAAGTATGGATAATGAGATGAAGTATTAAAGTTGGTGGTAAAAACAAGCACAAATACAGTTTTTTTATTCAAGACTGGAAAATTCCTTTCCCAAGGCCCTCGGTCCTGCACCATGGAAAATCACGGGACCCCTAGGTTAGCGAGCTGAGTCACCATTACTGGCGCGCGTGTTATAATCCATATAATATCCCGGACATCCGATATTCTATGATTTGAAGTTTAACATTTATTCAGCTGTAATTCCTCCCAAGCGAAGTATCCTTGGTGGGGGGACATTAATTTAACAAATGTTCATATTGTCTGCAGTGATCTTTCTGGATATTACCAAAAATCATTTCTGCAACATTTCCTATTTGGTCTAGTTTTTAACATTTTATTGATTATAATATTCTATATTTACTATCTATCGTAATGCGTTATTCAGCAGTAATTCCTCTCAAGTGAAGCATATACAATAAGCATACATTTACCCTTTGGGGGAAATATTAGGTTTACAAATGTTCCTATTGTATCCGCCGTGATCTCCTTGGATCTTAATGATTTAATTTCTACAAACACTGTTCATGATATATAGCATCATACGAAATACCTATTATCGATGAAATAATATTGACGACCAAACTCAAACTGAAGGTTCTACATTTTCGGTATCTCCGTCATTTTCATCTAAAATTATCCAACGCTAATTAATCTCCTAAATTGAGAAATAATTACTGGTACGGTGTCGTACATATAGTAAAATAATACTCAAATAATAAAAAACGAATGTAACGATAACAAGAAAGGTGTCGCTAACAAACCTGCGAACATCACTAAAATAACAAAAACAAATTAATAACTACAGAGTAAACGCTGAGAACACTAGTAATAATACTAAATGCTCTTGTAAATTTAACAAAATCTCCGGCCACCCATGGCGCAAGCATTGACCGAACAGTTCTTACTAATAATTAGTAAAATAACAAAAACAAATTAATAACTACAGAGTAAACGCTGAGAACACTAGTAATAATACTAAATGCTCTTGTAAATTTAACAAAATCTCCGGCCACCCATGGCGCAAGCATTGACCGAACAGTTCTTACTAATAATTATTACAAATAATAAAACAACAGATTTAACAAAAACATTAGGGGTATAGTTAGCACACAATATGGGGTCTTAGCAAAGCGCCAGAGTTCATTGCTGGTTTTGGTGATAATGATCCGTTTTGCGTCCATATTCACACACACTAAATTATGCGATATTTATGAACACAGTTCAGTTATAAGGAAACTTTAAAGATTATGAAATCACAATTGTTTTAATTTAAATTGGTAAATATTTAGGCAAACCTATGACTTTTCTTCTTTCTCAGTATAATCTACACTCTATAAACACAGTTTTGTTGTATAATTTTGAAAACAGTGAACCGTTCATATGCTGGATAAACTATTGTTTAATGGTTTGGATTGTTCGTACTTGGTTTTATTTTATTTTGGAAGCCAACCATGCCATGCACACAATTTTGTTCTTTGGTTTCTGCAAACTACCCAAAATCAATATCTTTCAAATACTGGAGTTATTTATGTGGAGTTTATTTCATTTTGAATTCGGGAATCGATAGCACCAACATGAGTAGACAAATTGAATGAATCGATGCCGTTTCCTGATCTACCATCGCTGTCATTATTTATTTCCTGAACATCGTCGTTGTTAACATCACAAAATATGGTGCATCGTTTCAGTTGTGTATAATCGTGTTTATCGCACTCAGTTTTAGTTCTATTTGGTTGATCGTACATGTGGAAATATGATTCAGAGTCATGCGAAGATGGAGTATCACTGTCCTCATTTTGTTCCTCAACATCCCCATTTATTATGTCACCCTCACAAATAAATGTGCATATTTTCAGTTGCATATAATCGTGTTTATCGCTTTCTGTTTCAGTTCTATTTGTTTCATTGTACGGGTTGAGATATGGGTCAAGGTCGGGTGAAGATGAATCGAATACCATCAGTTGATTGTTGTCAGTTATAATATCCGCAGTATTGACTGACTCATATGAATTGTTTATCGCATCGTTAGCTGCATTACTGGTCACCCCCGTGTTAGCTGTGCGATGTGGTCTTTTCATCACTACACAAAGGAGGAAATCGAGATTAAATCATGCAATCATGGGGATATCCCATTGATATCATTTCGGCCTGTAAAGATCTTTACTTTAAGAGACAATTTGTTAAACACAAATATGTTCTTGAAATAGAAATATAATTATGTTATGTTCTCAATATTATTGTAATATTAAATTGTCAAATGAATAAACGAATATGTAAATGAAGGACACTACTTACGATAAAATGAAAATGCTGAAAGAAAAGCAATCACAACGACGACCAAGACCAGTACAAGAAGTCCGTAAACCAGTTTGATTCGTTGAAAAGATCCACCATTTTCATTTAGCTCTAAAAAATATATTAAACATGAACGGAGCATGTAAACGTGTGCATAGTCGTTACCTTTGATTTTACGTTTTAATGATTAAACTGTGGTCAATAGTACCGAAATTTTTCATAAGTAGAGAATTGTTCCCACCTCATTTATAAATCATATTTTTTGTTTTAAATTTGAACTTACCTTCAATAATTTCAATATACTCAGTTTGCTTGTATAGTGTTTCCCTGAATTCTATTTTTAAGCTGTAAGAGTAGCTGAAATCTACAGATGTTGTGTTGTATATGGTAAAGGCTACCGTCTCTGTTATATCATCACTACTCACTGTAATGTTGACATCCTGCAATCCCCGTTTGATCTGCCCAGAACCATCCGGAAATATTGATAGTATCTTCTCCTCCTTGTAAAATATAATCATTAATACATTCCCTTTATCCCTTAAATTAAATATACATTCCACAACTAGTGAATAATAGTCGTTATAAGTTTTCCTATTATTTTTGTATATGGTATATTTTTATTCATTCCACAGATAAAGCAATAATTGCACTTACATTGTTAGTCTGTTTCCTGTAAATAGATAATGTCTTTTTGTTTGTTATCTGTTTGTATCTCCATGTCAAGGTTACATCCTTGGCTAAACGGTCTTTTATGGGTGTAATATCCCACTCTAGATTCAGATCTTTGAAAAAGAAAAAGATAGCCTTATGGTGCAAGTTAACTAATATATTTAAGTATTTGAATATAATGAATCTAATTTTGATAATTATAGCCTACTGCTCATATATTTCAATATTTCAATTATAGCCTACTGCTCATATACAATACATTTCCTTGACATTTTGGCTTAGATGAACATATACTTGGGAATCTATTATGGTGATAAAGTTCATTTCATAAACGTTGTTTCCATGCCTTATTTCCATAGATGTTGCATGCATAATCACAGGTTGTCGTTAACAAGGAAATTCGTGTGACCTTCCGACGAATAGTAAATAGATATACAATTTCCTTACTTTTGTGGTCGCTTCAAATAGTTTTAGTAAATTGCACGTACCAGTAATAATAGTGAGATTAACATCTTTGTAACGTGTGTTCCACAATCCTAGAGTACATCTATAAGTACCACTGTCGTCCATCTGAACATGAGTTAAATGTAGAGTTATTATTGTATGGTTAGGGTCCATAGTCTTGATCAACGCAGAATTGACGTTATACTGAAATAAAAGTCAGAACAGTTTACATTTCTTTTAAATGAGGTTTAACGTTATCTGTACCGACTGGACTAATGAATATGGACATATAACATATGATCTATGAGAGAAATTCTGTTTGAAGAGCGGAACTACAGTCTACTCTCAATTCGAATTCCAACCATGTGTACACGGTAACTTGGTTCGCCGTCAAATCCGAAACCTTGGATCTCTGTGCTAGTACGCAACCGCGGCCTCCAAGTTTTTCAAACATGCAAGCCAAAATAAAATAAAATACCAAAAACGAACATGCATCCAAACAAGCACAAATTAAATTATACTGTCGAATATCTACCCTCATACTTTTGTCTTTTTGTTTTAGGATTATGTATGTACTTCATCGTACCTTCTCGTACCTGTATGCCATCTTGTGATAAAGGTTTTGCAATAACTTACCCCATCTTTTGTTATAGTAATTGAATCTCTGTAGTTTGTTTCCATGATTTTCCATGTTAGATTAACATCTAGTCCATTTATACTAACAACATCGTCAACATCATCATTGCTGAACCAAATCGATCCTGAAACTTTTAAGTACAGTTAATCATTTTGACTGTAGTCAATAATATATACAAAGTTTTAGATCGGTCTTCAGAACCAACATAACATAACATTGAACAAACCATTGGGAAGCAATTTTGACATCTCAACCCATAGAGACAAGGGTATATTTTGCGGTACATAACCACTAATTGCAAATGTGTTTATTTTACATTTTCTCGTGGATTGACGGCGGGAGTTAGTTCGCAAAACCTTATGTCATTTCTGGATCTGATATCCAGGGAAGAACTGTGTACTACTGGCCTGTGTAATGTACCATAGATTTTCACTTAATGCGAGTTCCAAATACAAAACTGTTTATGCTACTTTAAGAAATGAAATACAGCCATGAAACAATGTGTAATAGCATTTTACAGTAATTTATTAAATTAATAACGCTCACCGTTGGCAAGTAAGTAAAAAATAAATAGTATTACAGTAAATTTGATGAACATCATTAATTTCTGAAATAAATAAAAATTCAGTCCTATATTGAGAGTACGAAACGGGTCCGGATGAACCGTGTGCGGGGACCCTGGACCAGGCAATGGGGTGGGGTCGAATTACGAAAAGAAAGCGGGAGGTCCAGTTCTTTTAAAGACTAAGAGTGACCAATAAAGGGTTATATGAAAAACCATTACGATCCAGTTACGATCACCAGACAATCTTATCTATTCAGAATCATGTACTCAAAACCAAATGTAGGGGTCCGGGACATTTGTAACACTTTTCCCCGCCAAACTGTTACTGATGAGAAATGGGGTCGTAAAAATTTCAACGCCCGTCAAATTAATGTTCAATCAACTTGAAACCATGACAGGCGTGTTCCTTGGACCATGGCGCATCGTTTCACGAACTTCGATTTAATTACGTCACAGTTCCAAGGCGGCTGCGATGACGCCATAGACAGTTCCTGGTGGCACTTGCTATACAGATATTCGTTATATCGAACAAATGAGCAGAATATATTATTGCAATATAACAGTACAACTAAATAAATCCATTCATGTGCCACACCTACAAATAGTGTACCCCTGTGTTGCCGATGTCCGTTGTACAATATTATAGTTTTGTAATATATTCACTTAGTATTTGATAAATAAGCCGTTTTCATTTTTTTTTGATAAATCCTGGTTGTAATTTTGGAGAATAATTCGAACAGACTATAATAGGTTGTAAGGACATTAAGCTATTATGACTGGTCGATTATATTTAAAAAATGCCCGGCACATACCTTGTATTATGCAATTATTCAGCATGATAATTGCATACGAACAATCACTAATTACATACAGGTCTCGTTCGGATTTACCCAGTAGATTCGTTGAATGAAATCCTCGTCAAAACAATCCATCCCATAAAGTTAAAAGCAATGACGAATATGGGTCAGGGTGTGTAGGTTATAAGTTGTAACGGGTATCAGGTTGCAACCTTCCCCTATGCAGTGAAGGATTTATCTCCTTAGTTCTAAATTGTTTCGCTACCACTTTAATTGGTTATTGGTGACATGGCAACCGGTGAATCAATAATGGCGTGTGGGGTTTTTTTTTGTTTAATGTCTAGTTTTGATATTAGGCGACATATGTCTGGTTAATTAATGTGTGTGTTTTAACGTTTCTACATAATTAATTCCTTGTTTAATATATGTTGAGCATAATGAAGAGTTACATAATTTTGATATATATGTTGTATGTAACGGTTGTCAGAGGTAAGTACTAATTAATTACTATTACTATTACTAAGTTAACTGGAGAGACACGCAGGAAACAGGGTAAAAAAGGATAAACCACACTATAGCGGCTGAACTGTTTTTAAAGAGAGAAATTGGGTTTAACGTATTCGACTCAAATTAGGTAATTTCGGGAGTAACATATTGTTCAATTTTAGTGTAACAATTCGCTTGTGCCTCCCCACATAACATCATGACGTTAAATTAACGTAAAATGGTTGATCAAATTACTTTCAGTTTGTTCATTTTTTCAACGATAATTTAACGTAAAGTTTACGTCATTTTAACGTTATATTAACGTCATTTTCTTACGTAAATCTAACGTAAAGTTTGCGTCACTTAGGTTAGATTAACGTTAGAAAATGACGTAAACTTTACATCATTTTAACGTTATATTAACGTCATTTTCTGACGTAAATCTAACGTAAAGTTTGCGTCACTTAGGTTAGATTAACGTTAGAAAATGACGTAAACTTTACGTTAGATGTATGAAAATGACTTTATCCTAAATCTAACATTAAATAAACATTATTTTTGGCCGTTAATCTAATGTCAAATTTTGATGAGCAAAGTTATGAACATATAACCATTATTTGCGGTAGTAAATGGGATATACAGTCAATCTGTGAGCGTGACTGGAGAGGTCCAACGTGTGCGCTTTAGATCATAATGTCTGTCATTCAGTCAAGTGGTTTAGTTTCGATACCAAATTTAAATGTACGTTTTCTCTGCCCCCTCCCCCCACTACTAAAGACTCCTGGTAAGAGTTCTTGAACTTGAATTGAATTACTTATCCCTAAATGACAGTTTATGTATGTTGGATGTTACATTCCATTTATCTCTAATTACCCATAACCATTCAGAATTATAAATGTGATTGCACACATACGTTACAAATCTAGCACAACTTATATATAAAGAGCGCCATGGAAAACGCATCACTTAGTTTTTCGTATATCCTGTAAACATATCTTATTTATTTTGCTTCTTATTGTGAACAATATTCAAATGGGAACACATCAATAACAACACATTTGTACACTTATGGATGTTTAGTTTGTAATCAAGGGTACAAAGTCAGAGGGGTCAAAACCAAAAGTACTACTCAAATGTCAGTAGCGCGTGTGTCCTCCACGGGCCATCATCGCGGTAGGCTACAGCATTAATGCGACCCCTGCAAATGTGTAGGGCGGTCCGGTGATGAAATGTGAAGCCTCCCAACACCATTACACTTCCCCCACCCCATCGATTCGTTTCGAAGACGCAGCAGTCTGCAAGACGTTCCCCAAGACGTCTCCACACACGTTGACGGCCATCAGCGTGATAAAGATGAAAGCGACTCTCATCACTGAAGAGCACACTTTGCCAGTCTACTCTTCTCCATGTCTGGTGTCCTTCAGTCCATATCAAACGACGCTGACGGTGATGATCCCTGAGGATAGCTCCAATATAAGGCCGTCGTGCACGGAGTCCTACTTCTCTTAGACGACGTCTTACGGTGTTTGCACTTACTGGTCTTTGTTTTCCGACGACTGCTGCACCTGTTCGGAATCTGTCACACAGATGAGTGACCAGGATGTAGCGGTCTTGAGCCTGGGTTGTAACGCGGTGTGGACCAGGACGTTGACGGTCACGTGTTGATCCAGTAAGTCGAACATGTTCCACCAACCTTACAATAGTGGACTGATGACAATTGAAGTGTCTGGCAATAGCACGTGTAGACATGACAGTCCTGGACATTCCCATGGCTTCATTCCGTTGATTTTAAGTAAGTCTCGGCATCTCTAGCTCGATTCCTTCACACGTCCAACAACAAATTAAGACAGATTGACGTTTCACAGTTCATGTACTGCACATTAAGTTGAAAACGTGCTTTTAAAGGGCTCACTCACAATGCTGCACGGGAATATTGGGTTTTTCATGTGCATCTCGTGCATTTTTTTTTTTGCACACGGTCCGATATTTTTTGCGTGTGGGAGCATTGTGTGAAATATTATACATACAAAACCACCTAGTAATAAAATATTTGGGGAAAAAAAGTGATGCGTTTTCCATGGCGCTCAGTATATAACAAAATATACTACACGTATCTATACATGTACTTTATTTAAAAGACCCGGTGGGGTGGGGGTGGGTGGCTGAATACTTAGCACGTGTGCCCTGTATCATAAGGTCTGTCATTGAGTCAACTGGCGTGGTTTGGATTCCCCGGTTGTACGTGACAAGGATTGGGGTCGCCTGTCCCACCTCGTGGGTTTTCTCCTGTCCTCCGGTTTCCCACCACTGTTAAAGAGTCCCTTATTATTGAAATAGAATTGAACCATATGTTAGTCCCGAAATGACCTAGTTTTTGTCGAGTGGACGTTAGCCCACATTTCTCTCTCTTTCTATATCTGTTAAGAATGTTATAAAATACAAAGTATACATTTAAATATTAAAAGTTTATATCCACAGCTGTTTGAGAAAATTGGAAAAATGAAATGAAATGGGGTTTAACATCTTTTTGTTCTGCTCTGACTGGGCTAATGAAGAAAGGCACATGCCGAAAAGTGTGCTATGAGGGAAATTTTGTCTGGACAGCAGCGCTACGTCCTACCCTTATATCGAATTCCAACTGCCAGGGTGTACACAGGACCTTGGTGTTTTTCTACCATCCGAATGACTATAGGCAGCTGTCCATGTCAGATCCTCTGTCCTACATCACTGAAAGGGAAAATGTCCAAGAAAAGATGCGGGCAGTGGATAATCCGAGAATTTAATTAGGCTTCGATATTTATGATAAATGGATAGCGATTAAAGACAACATCGTCTTGTGTATGCAATGCATTCTCCTCCGACTTCGCACCCGCTGCTAGGTCACACACGAAATAGGTCCGTAATAAATTTACTTGTCGTGTTTTAAATGCCGAAATGAAATGGGGTTTAACGTCCTATTGCTTCGAACTGGGCTCATCCCGGACAGCGGCACTTATATCGAATTCCAACTGTCAAGGGATCTTTTAAGTTCCATCCGAACGACTAGACAGCTGTCCTTGTCAGGCCCTCCATCCTTCATCACTGACAAGGAGGAACCACACCGGAAAATCTAGATGAACTTTCTCGGCCAATGCAGGAATTGAACACCCGATCTCCTGGATAGCGAGCCAGCGTCTTACTCACTTAGCCACCGTGATCCCCCTGTTTTAAATACCAATCGAGTAGATCCTGTCCACCTATTTGAAATATACATTCACTTCTTTTTGTCTAATTGCGTGCTGTTAATTATTAGAACGAAAGTTGTGAGGATTATAGCTTTTCGGAATGTGCAGTGTTAAACCTATACGAAACCTGTTAGTAATCTTGCTTCAACAGTATGGCATTTTTTAATAAACGTTCGCTGTACCCTCCTATTCCGATCCTTAAATGCTGATTCAAATAACGATGACATTCATATTCATTTATAACAAAACATAATATAGGCATTTTCAAGAATCAGGTAGGCTTAGAGTATTCTGAATGGTCGCTCAGTGAACAAAAGGTGTTCATTTCCCTTAAAATCTTTAAGAGTCAGCAGGTTTTGTAATGGGTCGGTCGGATTTATACTGGAAACACATTTGTTTTTGGCCTAAAGTCATTTGAATCACAATTTGACAGTTTACACCACATACATGTAGATTACAAATAACATATCTGTCGAACATTTCCGCCGCTTTCAGGCGTTTAATGTCTTAATATTTTTGTGGGTATTGTATACACCCCTTTAGAAAACCACGTAGTGTATGTGTGACAGAGTCGACATAGATACTTAACAATTAATTGAAAGCTTGTGTCCTCAATTGAGAGAACATATTATGTTAGGTCTAAAGTATCAGTATATTTTAAGAAATTTATATTTAAATGTCACTGTCAAGAGAGGTCGTGCGGAGAGAAGGTCAACCGAAAACACCCTAGTTATGTTTGTAGTAACAAATATAGAGTAAAATGGTCACACATAATTTTCCGCCATTTAATGTAATGAATGAAATAAAATGTTATGGCTTGCCAGCTCCAACTGGGCTATATTTGCGCCAACCATAAATTTCACAGTAGTTTTAAAAATAAAAGATAAATATAACTATGCAGGTAATATAATAAACATTTGTAATAAAAATGTATTTTTTAAAAAGTCTTGTACCTTTGGTGTAATGACAGGTAAAACTGTGATCTAACATATGTGAGATGATTGCACTCAAAAATGTGCTTAGCTGTCGTAGGAACATGACAGTGTTCACGTTGTGACTGAGACCCTCGCTTTCAGATAAAAATGTGAGTTACAAACGTGTGACCTATACGAGAGCAATATTACAAAATAAAGTCCTACCCGGCAGTGTGAAGGTAACTCGACTTTCGTTTTGCGAGTGCATAACTATTCCATATTTGGAATTTAGCTGTTATCAGTCTATGACGTAAATCAATTAGGGGTAGGTACCTATAAAGGGGGGGGGGGGGGTGAGGGCTACAATAGTTAGACAACTTTGTATTATTTAGTAGACGAGACATCGTTGGATTCTTTAGAAGACCAGCCATCAGGCAGATTCTTTAGAAGACGACTATTTCATTGTGAGCCTAGCCACGCTTGTTAGACTTTTACAGGATTTGGGTTTGAGAGAAATAGATGTTAATTTTAAATATTGTGATGTAGATTATTGTTCAACGGTTGTGATATAAAAACATATAGCAACAAAAATCGTTGTACCTGTTACATATTTGATGTGGTATCCGTACTGAGAAAACACAATGGTAAAGTCCTTAAGAAGAGAGATACAGCAGTAACCAGTCCCGTCTCAACCAATCCCTAGACGATCAGGTCAAAACAAAGACATGTGACACCTGATCACAACGCTAAGTTTTATTTGATATACAATTGGTCAAGGTAAGCCTTAATTCGTGTTTATCACATTGCATTGCAAAGTCAACACGGAGAATATTACAAGATTTTTGTGAACCTATATCTTTGATTTGGCCGACATAAAAATGATAAATACCTTATCAGCGTTCTTAATCCAAGTAGCAATCCTAACATCGAGGTGTTAATTAATTTATGATCCTATGTCTGTGCAACGTTTAGTCGGTATTGATTAATCAGAGATTACCTACACGTGTACACTTGCGCCGACACTTGGGTGAATACATAAAATAGTCTGTTATTCAATTCAGTTACCTACCAACAAAATTTTAATTAAAATTAGTCCAACTTTAGTCGTAGGTCTACTGTTAATCTAACGTAGTGAGATTTTTCCGATTTCATTTTTTTATAATATATTTTTTACGATATATTTTAGAGTAATGGAGTCAAATCCATCATCTACCCACAGAATGGCAGTCTCATTCGCGCTGTACGATGACTCCAGGAATATGATATACAGTTGGCTACTCCAATCCGTAAATGGATCCGCGAAAACCAGGTGAATATGAAGCATTTCGTTGATGGTTGACACGATGTTAAAGGAAAATTTGTTATATTTTTTTAGTTTGATAGGGTTTGGATCATCATAAATCATACCAGTGACATATCAAAGTTGACTTTTATGTCAGACTATATATTGGAAGGTTTTCGAAACGACGAAGTTTCTAAAATAAATGTTAATTATAACATTAGAATTATTACTGTTTCTTTCAGGTTTGAAAACAAAGTTGACGGCACTTGGGAAAGAAGAACACTTTGGCAGCATCAATCTCTGGATTCGATTCTGGGTATAACGAACTATGTCTATTGGTGTGCTGCGATCAGCGACGAAGATGATTCGACGTAGTTGCTTTGTTAATGACATCCAGAAGTACCACCACGAAACCATTTTGTTTCGTAAAAGTCGACAATTAATTATCTCTAGAATTCATAGAAAGCGATATATTATACAGGTTTACTGTTGATTTATTCTGATCAAATGGACACGGGGAATATGGCTACAGGACTGTCTTTGTTATAGTGTTACAAATCAAAATCTAAATTGGATCTTCAATTAAATAAATTACAAAAATTATTCCGTAGTCACTCGTTTTATTAAGGGGGTTAATGAATAAGTCAAGCGATAATGAATATACACCCCGGCTGTATTAAGGTAATTAAGTACTCCGGTTGAAAATACTGGCATATCTGAAACTCCCCAATAACTACAAAAGAAATTGAAGAGACTATTCTGCGTTTGAAGCGTGGAAAAAGTGTGGGTATAGATTATCTTATAAATGGATACTTCTTAGAATAAAAGACGATATGTAGCACCACGAGTCTTTTGTCAAACGTAGAAAGCTGGCCTCCGACAAACCGGTCGCTACATCCTACGTATGGTCCATGCATCCTTTCGTACTACATATCCTATAAGCCTTGTGATCGTCTAGTATTTTCAATTATCTTCTTTGCTTCCTTTTCAAGTCGTGTGTTTGCTTCTCCCTATCTCAGTAGTTAAGAAATGTGTCTTCTGAGTAGTTAAGACGTTTGTCTTACCAGGAATAGCAATGCATCAGTTTGTATTTTACGTTTTATATTAAGCACTGAGTACATATGATACAAGCATAAATTAAAATAAAATTATTCTCTGAAACCGGCGTGTCTGCTGATAGAGATTGCAACATCTTCTCCCTCTAGAATCAAGCGGCTGTCTGACGAATGCTCAGGGATATGATAGTCTTGTAGATTTGTCAAATATGACGAAATTAATTACAACGATTGGTTAATTAGCCCAATGACGCCGAAAATCACCCTTATATGGACAGTGGAAACTTACACCAAAAGTATCACACGTGTTATCTGGTGATATTTTGTTTTCACATAGGACTAGCCCTGTTTTAGTTTTGTATGTATGTTTATGTGTAAATCTGTCACTCATCATATCTGACTAGATCTGACTTCTACAGAAAGTTTGAATCCAATAATTAGTTATAATATAATGCTATTATTAATTTAAAAAGCAAAAATTCAACCAATATTTTATTTAATGCTAGATCCGATTAACCTATATTTGTAGCAACATAACTCTATGGATTATCCATAACACGCACGTGGTTTCACTCAAGTCACAGTCATCGAGCGATTGTTATTATTGTATGCTTTCTCGATTCCCCATTATTCTATAGTGACTTATTGTCTGCGATATCACCTCGGTGGAAGCGGACGTACAATACAACTAACTAACAACATGTCAGGTCGATTTGCGCTCATGTTGTCAAATTGTTCCGGTTCGATGAATTTCGAGAAATGTTTTTGGAGCAATGTTTTTTTTAGAAATGTTTTGCAAGGTTTGTATTTGGAAATTTGTTGTTGAAATGTAAATGTGGGCTAATATTTTGATCTTCTAAAATAAGTGTTATCTTAATATAACTAAAATTAAATTAAACCAAAATACAAATCTTTCATGGCAAATGTCTGACTTGTTAAACAAATATTGATTTTAAGATACAAATGTTAATTTTAATGTACAAATGTCGGAGTACGACAACAAATAGAGAATTAAAGACTATGAATTAAGAACACTGAATAAAGAGCCATTTGGTCTTCCATACCTACTGGAACTCTTTCGTCCCGCAAACAATACGACTATCATGACAAAATTAACAATATAAGTCATTGCCTGCGTACATTTGGGTCAGGGCGTGTGATGTTGTTTTGTTTTTTGCAGCTGAATCGGTTGTTTGGGTGACTACTGGTAAAAGTGAACCGGTTGTTTTAGCTGGCTGCAATACTCAACTGGATTGCGACTTACATGTTGAAAAGTATAACGTCTCTCTGTTAAAGGTAGAGTTATATATTATATTATGACCCTATGTCAGACTTGTATCCGTTCATTGTCTGCCTGTTTTTTTTAGAAACAGATAAAAGCTTCCCAGAAAATAGGTATGCAACGGATTACTATTTCCGACCATTTTGCGAGAACAGCATTGTTGAATTTGCAGATGTCTTGTTATCAGTGTGGATTCTAGTTGGTTAATACGACAATGTATGACAATTATTAGTTCGGTTATTATCCCAACAAATGTATGATCACATTCGATTCTACGCCAATGACCCTGGGTATTTTTATTTGCTACACTTTGAATAGCCACCACTTAAGCATTAACCATCCCATAAACTCACCCACATCCTCAAATTAAGCAGACTATGTGAATGTAGTTGTGCTACATTTTCCCTATACTACTGATCATTTGAACACATATCACCATCAACGACTGCGTCCTTTTTTATTATGGACCGGCAAATAATCCAGAAAGGATACTTGGAGAAATATTAGAAAATGGCTTAATATTAAAAACAAGAGTTTAAGGAAATATCTTAATATCCCACATTATTCCACATCATTGTATAATTTAGGTTAATGGATTCACGGAAAATGGACTGGATAAAACGGACAGGTATGAAATACAGAAGACTGCAACCATACAAGGACAGCACATTACTCTGAATATAACAAATGTGACATTACAAGATGCTGGTATATATAGATGTAAAGTAGATTTGACAGACCACTCTAAAGACATTAACCTCACCGTTATTGGTATGTCAACACTTTAACCCCTGGTTTATTTCCTCTTATTAGGTATCCCAATCAACTTAATGTGGTTTAACACTCTGCTTTTAAAGGGAGCTGCGGAGGCTCAGTGAATAAGGCACTGGCTCATTAACCATGGGGGAACGAGTTCCCTTACTGAGTTGGCCAGGAAATATACTTGTTTAACCTTGTTACTGGCAAGAGAAAGCGTCTAGTATTTCGAATGGACATGCATGTAAAACAACCCTTTGCAATTGGAAGTCGACGAAATCTAGGGTCAAATTGCACTCAATGAAATGAAATGAAATGGGGTTTAACGTCCTACTGTTCTGCTCCTAACCTGGGCTAATGAAGACGGGCATACGCCATACAGTGTGCTATGAGGGAAATTTTGCCCGGGCAGCGGCACTATCGCCTACTCTTATATCGAATTCCAACTGCCAAGGGATCTTTTACGTGCATTCCAATGTATACACGGGACCTCGATTTTTCGTCTCATCCGAAGGACTAGACAGCTGTCCTTGTCAGGCCCTCCGTCCTGCATCACTGACAAGGGGGAAACACGCCTGAAAATCTGGATGAACTTTCTCGGCCAATGCAGGGATCGAACACCCGACCTCCAGGCTAGCGAGCCAGCGTCTTACCCACTTAGCCACGTGATCCCCAAATTGCACTCAAACATGCGGTTGGTGTAGAAAAGAAAGACGGCACATTTTGTTTCATTTTCGAATTTTCATAAATATAAATGTATTCAGTCTAGGGATGCTTCAATTTTACTGCCATTGGATCGATCAAACTGTTTAATTTTTGCAAAAAAAATTACAATATATAAATACTGTTACGCACATAAACAAAAGAAAATTCAGTATTGACAAATTTAGTATACTGAAAGTGACATTTCTGGTATAGTACGCGGGAATCTTCTGAGGAGATAACGTAATATTGGTAATATCACCCAACCCTTTCTTACACAAGCATAAAAATAAATATAATTCTTTGGTATAGATATAACTTTCATATATCCTAGCATCATAAAATTGGACTGTGACATAATGTGTTTGTTTGTATGGAATAAATATTAGCAAATAACATAAAGCATTGTCAATATAGATTCAGTGATTATGGGAGTGGTTGTTAATGAATATCTGAAGACATCACACTCCAACAATCACAACCTGTTGCTTAACAAATTGGCCATAGTGTAAGACCGGTCAGTTATGATAGACCGTTTTAACTTTCGGACTAATAGCCGCCTATGTTCCAGTATATAATTTTTATTAAGGTCTATTAAGTTTATTTATGTGTTTTATAGATTTCCAGTGGAAGAGTAATATGGCGACTATGAAGGTTCGCGTGGCAAATAATATAACGATGCAATGGGAATATGTATCCAAGGCTGAGTTTGAATATATTTTTTTATTTAGAAAATCCATGGAAGATGACAACAGACGGGTTAGTAAATCACAATTATCTCATATTAGTTCCTACACATCACGGGCATTATGTGGTTACGAATTAAAATTATATACCTAAATGTGGCATACATAGGATACGATTGACAGCTTTTTTGTGCTCCATGGTTGGGGGAGGGGGGGTAAGCGAATTCGCCTTTTTAACCTTCATCTGACGTATTAGCATGTTATGTGTTCAATCATCTGACAAATTTGGGGAGATTTGGTAAAACAGACATTCACTAGTAACACTTTATCGATACTTGGATTTTCAGAAAAGGCATCAGACTGGCCATATCTGAACGAACCAACGTCAATCTGATTGCAGGCATTACCAGAGATGAAATGGATTGTGGTTTAACCTCCTATTGTTCTGCTCCGACTGGGCTAAGTATGACTTGCAAACGCCATACAGTGTGCTATGGGGTCAAATATGCACGAACAACGGCACTACAGCCTACTCTACTATCGAATTCCAGGGCTTATTTTGCGTGCACGTCAATGTGTAAACGGAATCCCTGGCAAGCGGGGACCACATGGAAAAATCCCGATGAAATTTCTCGCAACACAAGCATCGAACACAGATGTCACAGGTTAACGGGCTACTTTTTACTCACCGACCAACAGCTCTCCCAACCATTACGTTCTATAACGGTGGTTAATTGTTTATGTTTACATTCATAACACAGGGTCTTGTTAAGTGGGAGTATGGCATTGAAGCAGAAAGATGGAAGGATGACAGAATGGACCTTCGTTTGATTACCAATAACTCAACAAAAATTATATTTAACTTACGCACCTTAGTAGAGGATGACTTGAAATATAAATACCACTTACAGTTAAAATACAGTGATACCTGTATCATATCTCACAAACCAGTTAGTTTACAAGAAGGTGAGTAGTTGTGTATCACACTTAAAATTCACATATCGATGGCTAAGTATGCAAATGTTATAATGTCCAGTTTTGGTCAAAATGATGTTTTGACCTTTTTGAATAGCATAAACATGCGCCCTTCTACTATGTCAATGCTGTTAGTCCAGATTAATTAGAGTATCATGTTATTGCCATGAAAACATTTAGCACATGTCCCCATTCAGCAAAAGTTTAGTATGCAAAAGTGATATTTGTGGACATGTAAATTTTGTCTACTGAAAGCTCATAACACTAAACAGGAACCAGTTGACATATTGCTTACAAAACACGTTGTCAGGGGTCTAAACATTAAAGTTTGTTTAAATGTATTTTTAAAATTGGTCATTACATGACAGAGTTCACAATAGCTCAATATTTCCTAAAATTGAACTCATATTTGATTTTGGGGGCATAATACTAAAATATGCAAATGACTACGAAAAAAGTCACTATAGAACCTAACAGAAGAAACATTTCCAGTTACATGTGACGCCCAAACGCACCAATAGCTACCGCATGGAATGCAGGTGATGCTTGGGATCATCATGGGGGTCCAACCCAAGATTTGCACGACTCTGACTTTGAATGTTACAGTCATTGTGGCATTGAATTCCAGGGTGGAAACATCAGTTTAATTCTTTTAGTGACCAGAAAACGAATTTTGATATGCGTCGGCTTACCCAAAATGAAAGGTTACGTGCCCTTGGCATGCTACAGATCGGCACAACACAGGCGGTTGTGGCGCGGACGATGAATGTTTCTCAGTCTGTCATAAGCAGGCTATGGTCCAGATACCGTGATACACAATCTGTACAGGACAGACCACGCTCAGGTCGACCAAGGGCGACAACTCAAGCCCAGGATCGATTTATCCGTACCTTGGCCTTGAGAAATCGTGTCATCACAGCAAATCAGATCAGCGCTCGTCTTCAAACAGACACTGGTGTGAGAGTGAGTGGCCAGACGATTCGGAATCGACTGCATAGGGGTCACGTTCGCGCCCGACGTCCTCGCGTGATCCCTTGTTTGAGAGATCATCACATTCAGGCAAGACGTCGTTGGTGTAGGGATCGTCAACACTGGGATAATCGACGCTGGAGCAATGTGATGTTTTCAGATGAGTTAAGGTTCACTGTTGATTTTTTGGACAGACGTAGGAGGGTGTGGCGTCGTCGAAACGAGCGCTTCCAAGACGTTAACGTCATCAGACATGATCGATTTGGGGGTGGTTCTGTTATGGTGTGGGGAGGCATCACTGTTGCTGGAAGAACGGCTTTACATGTTGTTGCAGGGCGTGTTACAGGCCAGTACTACCGGGACAACATCTTGGCAGTCCATGTTGTGCCGTTCGCACGACGTCATGGCCGCCGTTTCATCTTCCAGGATGACAACGCAAGATGTCACAGGGCCAGGATCGTTACAGGTTACCTCCAACAACAGAACATCACCACATTACCTTGGCCAGCACTGAGTCCCGACCTCTCCCCCATCGAGCATGTCTGGGACATGCTTGGACAGAGGTTACGTTGCAACAGGAATGGGACAATCTGGACCAAAATGACCTTAGACGTCTCATTAGAAGTATGCCACGTCGGATCAATGCTTGTTTGGCAAACAGAGGAGGATTTACCCGTTACTGACTTGGTTGTAATGCTGTGGTAACTTTGCTGTTTGACCCCGGGTATCATTTTACCCTTATAATGGTCAGTCTGTGCCTTACTTAGTCTAACGATCATTTGGAATAAATCGATGAATGTGAACTTCATTTCATTTTGTCATTTGTTTCTTCGTCAGTTTCATTAGGTGACTTTAATAACACTTAAAAATCAAATATCCCCTACTTTTTTTGAATAGTATATAACTAACATGGCATTATGTCCATCACAAATGTGGACCTGTTTTAAAAGTTCAATTTGCATAAACGATATGTCCATATGGAACCAATTTGCCAGAAGTCAGGAACCAATTTCATTCAAATGATCATCTCGATTTGTGTAGTACCAACCAATATATAACATATATATATATATATATAGTATATCATGTTCGGATAATTCCCTGATTTGAAATAGGAATTCAAAAGTTTAAAATGCGATTTTCTGGAAACAATAAAAATTGACATATAACATATGCATACTCAGCCATCGATATGGCATGAGCTGAAATCTTTTCGGCACCTCAACACCAACCAGTCAGACTTTAGTGTTGCAAACACAATGTTGATGTATAATATAATAAACACAACCATCGTATATAGTATATGAAATCAAAACAAATATCAAAGAATATTATATCGATATGTATAAATTAATACAGTTTAAATTTAAATAAAGGCCTTTTCTTGTAGACATTGAATTTCAATGGTTATCTACAGTGGATCGAATGACGTCTACTGTTAGCAAGAATGTAACGTTGCTGTGGAAATACGAGAGTATCAAGTTGGCAAACCAAATCATATTCTACAAATTCAACACACTAACGGGACAGGTATGTTAAACGAAATAATATATACATGGATGGAGTTTTCCCAATGGAATGTAATTATTATCTGTTTTAAAGTAATGACCATGTAATGAGTAATGGTCTATTACATTTCATTGCAAATATCAATTCTTACAACTATGGAATTTGATAAAGATATCATTTTTACAATAAAAATCAATTAAGCATACATTATGCAAGAGCTTAATCTGCCCATTGCAGGTCTTTCTTTATGCCTGAAATGTTATCTTAATTATTAATTAGACATTAATTAACTTATCCAGACTATAATCAACTCTCAGTGTTATCGCTAGCTAGCGATAATTAGCGATTGAAATACATTATATGAAGGGTGATTAAACGTTAAAGTGGATAATCGAGACTTTGTTTCTTATCGTAGCCTAAAATTCAAAAGCTAATATATCGCGGTTCAGAGTGAAACAATTTGACTGATATTTTCAGCATATTCTATTTATGTTATCTATATTGTAATTATTATAGCGAAAACTGTCAAGTCATTTCCTAATCTCCATAATGCCTCTTCGAATGAAGCCATTTATTGCATAAAAGGTGGGCTTGAGCTGTAAAAATAACATCGACCCGCTCCCTACATCCTCATGGCTCACCAATAAAATACAATTTTCGACTCAAAACTTACTTTAATTTCAGAACCGAGAAATAGCCCTATGGACAAAGGGTGGGGCATTTAGACAGTCTCCCAGACAAGCAACTGCATTACAATTTAATAAACTCCCCATTGGAAATACATCAGGGGAGATAATTAGGCTGACATTCATTAAACCAATCGATGGAGATTTTGATGTAATCTACAAAAGTAAAATTTTCTGTGGAGTTGCATTTACCAGTGTGAAGGGAATTGAATTGAGGGCACAGAGTAAGTAATCAAGAGTTACACGGTTTATCTCCTTGGTGTCAGCCTTTTAATATTAATTATACTGTATAATAGTTTTATATTTGAAATGTGTTGGTTAAATGCGTAAATTCAATTGGTCAATGGATTTACCTATATATTTGCCACTACAACCATTACAAATTAATAGGTAACTCACATATTTGGATTCACGACCCATAGTTTCACATATTTAGTATTTTGAACGAATGCTCCTTCTAAAATTTCAGAACAGGTCATACAACGTAGCTAGGTCCCCATAGAATCTTACCGGTTAGCGAACATTTGTGGTAAAAGTAAAATAAAGGTATCGCCTATTTAAAAGCTCAGTTTTAGCGATTATGATCTCTTGGAAACAAAAGAAGGCAATTTTATCGCTAAACATAATCCACGCCTGAATGCCAAGGGATGATTGTTATAACATTTTGATTAATTAATGATTAATTTTCAAGTTTAATTGTTATTTCGTTTTATTTTTTTTAATTTATATTGAAATTTGTCATTTTCCTCTGTAAAATCGAAGTATATATACTGATGTCCAGACGAAAGTATACACACTAAAAGTATGACTAAGTTTTGTTTAGATTAAAAACATTTGATAAAGCATTACTGAGTTTGTCTCTTGCGTCCAAACATAACATTTCTAAGCAAAATAAAAATGTGAAACAAATTGACATTCTACCCAAATACCGTATACCATGGAAAAACGACTTTCTTTGATGCAGCACAAAATGCACAGTGTATACTTTCTTTTGGGCATTAGTATACAAAAGAAGTTTCTTTGAAGTACTCCAAGAGAAATATATAGAAAATTACGTTGAAAATAACAGAAACAAACGACTGTTTTGGGGTAACGTTTTCAGTTCTCTTGGACTTCGTCAGGCCATATTTCAGGCCATATTAATATATGTCACTAAGTACACATCTCCAATTAGGAAAACAGACTATACTAAATTGTGTGACTAACGTCTTCTGTTCCATCTGAACTAATAACAAATACGAATATCAGCCTTTGCGATATATTGATAATGCCCTCGGTGTAACAAAAACTATTTAGTAACAACAAATGACAATGTACAATTTTTAAATTCTATAGGAAATAACCAACAGTTAATATTTAAAGCACTAAAGCACATTTAGTTACAATCGAAGAGAAATGGGCTATCTTGAATCAAATAGCAAAAATTAAAAAAAAATAAGAAAAAGTTTATTCTCTTAAAAACATATATTTGTCATCGAAACACGGAACACAAATTACTTCTGATTAGTCACTTCGTTAGATTAAAGTATTTATTTTACAAGTGATAGCTGTATTATTCTTATTTAGAACCTACAATATATAGTGATGATTATAATACCATCTTATTCAGGGCCTACTATATATATTGATAATTATAATATAATTTTTATTCACGAAAAGAAAATAGTGAAAATATAATTCTTATTTACGACCGACAATATAAATAGTGAAAATGAAATGAAATGTAGTTTCATGGCACGTTAGCACCAACTGGGCAATATTGCGCCAAACATATGGTGATTAATTCAAGGCAATATAATTCTTATTTAGGACCATCAATATATAGTGAAGTGGGTGAAATTGAAGGTCGACTGGGAGACGATATTAGATTTGTATGGTATTATGAATATAAATATGGAATAGATACCATTATAATAACTCGCAACGACAAAGTTAACCACGAGGTAATAATTAACACATTCTGTATGGTGTTTACCCGAGTTAAAGGAACTAAATTGCTAATATTTGGCACCTGGAAATTGACACAAATGGATTGTAACGCATATAATAATGTAAAATGAATGTGTATAAACTAATTTACATTCAATCGTTTCCACTTTCACTCTAATGTTAGGCAAAATACGCCAGAAGTCTCAATCGAATGGCAATCTCTGGCGTCTGGTTATTTCAGTCTACACCAAGAGTATTGATCGTGCATGCTCTCCAGATAAGGCTGTTGCGTCATATGACTCCTGGAATATGTTTAGCCTCGTTCGTCGAGTCCCTTGTTACAAATGGCGCTGAAACACATTATGGTACACGATTGGTGTACCAATGGTAATTTTTTTTATCTTGTCTTAAAAATTGGATCTCAGAAACCCATCTTTTCCCGGTAAGATCACAACATCAATGTTTATTTAAATTGTCAAAGTATTCGTGTTTTCAATGTCAAAGACTTTGGATGATATTGAAATAGAGACTTGGCTACTTTAAATTGGAAATACTCCTTTGATGTAACGTGGAGATAGTGTCGTTATCACATGACTGTATACTTACATGTATTTGTGTGCTACGTACTTGGTGTTAAATGTGACGCGCCCTAAGTATTGGTTAGAACTGTGGTGTATGTGTGTATTGGTGTGAACAATACGCAGAATGAGAACTATATTGGGTGCGTGTGTATGTGGTGTGAATAGTGGTGTAAACTGTGTTGTTTATGTATTTTAGATTATGGCAATAGGTCACTGGCACAAGGATACATTTCTGCCAAACAAAGGTGTTAATGGAAACAGACTGATGTTTATCAAAACAGAAACCAAAATAACAAATGGTGTAGAGGGGCAGATAACACTAGTATTACACAATACAACACTGGTTGACTTTAGATATAACTACATATGCCGTATTACCTTTATTGATGCACAGACAATTTCAGATCGTATCAAGATTCATCAAAGTAAGAACTGACAAGATAATAGTGAGGCATTCCTTCCAAAATATATAGATGACACATATTAATTGTTTGCACAGTTATCAAACCTTTGTTTAAACAGAACATGTTCATAATGAACTTAGTTAGAACATCCACCATTTTATAAATTAATGAGCCCTAAGCGAAAAGTAATGTACGTTTTGGTAGCATTTTGCCCACGTGTTTTGGGCGTTGCACGATGTGGGTGTACTTATGTTCCAAATGACCCTGCTTTAGATATTTACTGAAAATGCTAATCACCCAACTCGGTCCAGGTATTCACTAAGTGCACGTCTACACTAAGTTCAAATTAGGAAAAAGAGAAAATACTCATCATTGACTATAGCTTTAAGTCTTACGGATCTATACACTCATGAGCAGTATATCTCAATGAAGTAATTCGCCAAATAAACACATGCACTAAATTTCTACAGAAATTAAAAGAAAAAGTATTGTGCCTCATCGAGTGTGAAAGACTGATAGACGAACCCATTTTAATAGTTTCCTTCTTCGCAGCAGGACGATATACCCAATTGAAAACCAATACTACCAAATACAACCATATACTACGTCATATATATGTAAACAAATGAGTTCATTCGTGGAATTGGCAAAGACTGTACATTGCAAGTTTTCCAAGAATTAACTTAATTTGCTTTATATAATTGAAGCAATCTGTCAGTGTAGTGTGGCGGGGCAGAATATAATTTACTGAGAAATTTACAGCGCGATAATATAACCGTCCATTCTTTGCTTAAAAAAAATAAACAGATTTTAAAACTAAAATATCAACGAAAAATTAATCTCCTTGTTTACTTTTAGCACCATTAATCTATAGTGATGTCGGTGAAATTAGAGGTCAACCTCAAGAAGATATTCAGTTTGTATGGTATTATGAGTATGGCTTGCCAGTAGACACTATCATATTTACTCGTTATAACACAAATACAAAGGTAAACATATTACTACGGTTTACAGTCTAAGACCCACTTTCGATGTATACATATACGCGCGCGATTTTTTGTATTTTCATCTGTAACGAAAAATCTCTGAACCAACGTTTGGAGAATAACACGCAAATAACGCCATGGGTGAGGACTTCTCTTCAAAGCATGGAGCTCGGTATTGTTTAAGTGCAGTAGCCGCCTTTTTGTAATAAATAGCACCATGTCCAAACAAATTTGCATCCCGAAATTACAGCAACAATGGAAGAGAACCCGTGTTTGTGCCCCAGTACGTACACATCATGTGTGAACACATGCACACACTTCCTTCGGGAAAAAAGCTGCGAAAAAGAAACGCGTACATGGAACGGGGGGGGGGGGGGGCTTACAATATCAATATATTATTAGAATCCTACTTCTAAACAAACCACACGCGTATTGATCGGATTAAGGCAGCTCTCCTCATTTCTATTGGAAATTCTTGCTAAACAAAATAAGTCTCTTTTCATAGTGACAGTTCAAGTTACCAGAGAGTAAGAATATACAGGTTTTGTCAACCATCGCCTTTCAGTGCAATGCAATCCAGGGGTTGGATCATTTAGTATCTAACTGACTGAAAAGACTAATCGGGGCACAACAGCCAGATCCGTGGCCATTTTCGGGGGTGGGGGTTACATTTTGAATTATGGCCGGCATATTGAATCAGAAGGTTTTGCGATGAATTAGAAACTGTGCAAAATGAGCCCGACAGCCTGCAAAACCTTTTTTTATACGAGTTATTTCTTCAGCACTGTTAGTCAAGCTCAAATTCAGAAATTTGGCCCTCTCCGCCACATATCTCGGAAGTTCCCACTCAAACGCCTGATTACCAACAAGAATCGAAATCTACACAAACTGTTGATCCCCCCCCCCCCTAAACGCTTGATCGCCACCAAGAATCGTAATCTACACTACAGTTGATCTAGAAAAACTATGTCTCATAAATTCTACTTTCGGGTGACGATACTCCCCATTGAGCCATCGGACTAAATTTGTGAATTTATTTTTTGAAAGCCGGGTGCCGTTGGTAGTTGGAACAAGGGTGTGTTTTCACCAAAGCCATCGGATGTAATAGATCGGCTGAGATTTAATGTAACAAAGCTTGGTGGTATCAAAGGAAAGATAACTCTGTCTTTACTCAAAACAACACACGAAGATTATAACTTTACCTATATCTGCAAGATTACCTTTGAAGACGGAAAATCTAGTTCGAGTCATGGGATGCCGCTTTACGGTTAGTTACAAATCTATATAATTTGACAGTTTTTATATTCCAGTAGCACAGTTAAATGACATAGGCATGATCCTTTGATGAGATGTTATTTATTACAGGAATTGTGTCTGTCAAAGATTCAGCTTATCAGGTATATGGTGATCCACATTGATCCATACCAGATGTGAATCAAATCCAATAAATAATTTAGCCTCCATCGCAATCACAATATTTTCGAAAGTATGGGAGAGTTAATGATAAACTTCATTTGAAAATAAATCAAGTTCACAAGGTATCCGCAAAAGTATGGAAGACCAAATGGGACAATATTCATGATTCTTGTTTCTACATTCCAGTTTGACAATTTTAGACACGAACGCAACATTCTAAACTAATGATTCTGTTTTACATTCTTATGTCAACATTTCATGCACAAAATCAACATTTCATGCACAAAATCAACATTTTAAACAAAAATTTCACTTTATGTTTCATTTTTGGCGTTTTATCGGCAATTTTTATATATCATTAAATATTAAAATTAAAAAATAATTTCTTAATTTTACACGAGAAAGAAATCAATTCATTGGTTTCTGAAAGTATCTAAAAAAAATCTGGAATTTGAACTCTTATGAAAATATTTTCTACGTTTCAAAAAGTCTTGAAGTTAAAATCTTGTAATGAAAATGTCCAGAAAAATATAATGAATTATCAACATTATTACACCAGAGGGCGTTAGCGTATGTGTACAACTTTGATACAGACTATAGATTAGAAATCAATATTATCATCCATATTTGCCACATTCGAAACACGCGTAGGTCTAATTTACAAACACTATTCTATAGTTATAGTTAATACGAAAAAGTAAACAAATAACAGTGAATAGATTCCATTTAAAACACAGAATTATCATCCATTGTTGCCATATTCGAAACACGTGTGGGTCTAATTTGTAAACATGAAAAAGTAAACAAATAACAGCGAATATGTAAGAAAGGCCTTTGTCCTAATTTTTCTAGCTGTTTTAGTTATAGAAGTTATTTGTATTGTTATTGTATCTCGAGTTTAATTTCTGTTTCATGCAACTAATTACTGTAAACACAATAGGGGGCCACTTCCACTCATGAATATTGTCCCATTTTGGTCTTCCATAGAAAAGAGGGCTAACTCCGAATTTGATGGTAGTGCCACGGTGCATATCGATAGTGTTCGTCCTCTTAAGGCCACAATGCTCCACGCTTAATTTGAAAATAATTTATTAAAATTGTAGCATCTATCGCGTTCACAATATTTTCCGTAAACAGGACAAGACTCCAATGTTTTCAGAACGCCGTCTTCATTAACCCATTCGGAGCAGAACAGTAGGTCGCTAAAACTCCATTTCATTTCGTTTTTAGAACGGAAGGCCGCGAAATGTTTGCTACGGGCGGACGGACCAATATGGAAGAATGAAAATCGATAGGCTTTACGCTCACGTGTTCCTAATACATGACACTAGTGAGCCCATAAGTTTGTTACAGAATTTGCGTAAAAGGTAGAATAATATCACTGGAAGCACCAAAAAAATTAAAATCAATATCGGACAACACTTGTGTTTTCTGGTTGGTCCAGAAACGTCGTACATATTTCAAACTTTGCCTATAAGTTTTATAGCGTGGGCTAATGATAATGGTTCCAAATTCATTAACAAGAATTACATCACGTAATACTACGGATATTTTGACGGGTTTATCAATACCAAACCATTTCCTCTCTATGTATTTAAACTATTATCATACTTGCCCTTCAGTTAAATAACGAGGAATTTTACAAGATATGATGTCATGAATATTTCCACCATTAAATTAACCAATCAAGTATTGGCGCATTCTAGGTTGAGGGCGTATTAGCCTTTAAACAGACATGCGCGTTGATAAATCTTTAGACCCATTTCAGATATAACGTTACCAGAAGTAATTTCTCTGAAGCGTAAGATGAGTGGGGGGGGGGGAATTAAATACGTTTTATCTTTGGGTTTTATGTAGACGATTGCTTGTAAACCTTATACCCTGCTTGATATAAAAATATTTTAAGATAAGTCATTGTTTCTATGCTACATCCGGTTTGAGAACGGCGACAAAGCCAAAGCAAAGTATGTGTGGCAGGGATGGTTTGACACATCGGATCTGGTCAGTTTGTGATTCAGCTTACACATCCATCCAATTATGTTACATATAACACAAGATGTTTCGGGAACCTGGAGGATTTACATAAAAGGAAGAAGAGATTAAGAAGAAAGTTACGGCAGAATTTGCACCCTAAATGAACGCATCCGTGATGTTTAGGTAGTAAATTAGAATTTATAACATTTATCAAATCGAATAAAATGTATTATGCCGTCACTAACCTACTTTTTTCACAAATGTCGTCAAGCGAAATGGTTCACAATCTAAATTAATTCATCATTACTGTTTCAGAGAAAGAACCCCCTGTTGTTGAAATGTCCATAAGAGAAAGTCACCCAAGATATTTATTTGCTTTAATCGGGATTGTTGTAGTTGTGGTTGTTATCGTAGCTGTAACTGTAGTCATTTATATACGTGAGTATTTTATATCGAGTAAGGGATACATTACATGTTGTCTTGTTAATATAATATAATGTAATTTATGGAAGACCAAGCAACTATTTAATCAGAGTTATTTTTAGTTCTTAATTCAAAGTCCTTATTTCTTAATTCTTCATTTGTTGTGGTATTCCGACATTTGTACACTAAAATTAACATTTGTATCTTAAAATCGATATTTGTTTTACAAGTCAGACTTTAAATATTGATACAAATTTTAATGTTAGTGTACAAATGTCGGAATACGACAACAGCTGAAGAGAAAAGAATTAAGGACTATGAATTAAGATCTATATAAGAACACTGAATAAAGTGATGTTTGGTCTTCCATAGAAATTATCCCAGCCATCAAATCCTTGTGCAGAAAAATGAGACGGTATACCTAATTTCATTACACTCTGGTAGGAATTAACCTTGCTCATCTTCTAGAGGCAGTTTTTTTTTAAAAAAAAAAACCTCGACCGATTATATTTTCTGGCTTGTTGATTAAGTTTTTTTTATGGCTATCAAGACAACTTGGTCTATAGTAATTTATATTAAATTATATCTAGGACATGTTCAACTCTATTAACATTGAATCTACTCGCTAAGACTATATTAAAGAAATCTAAATTTAACATGGAAACAATTTGTATAATGTATATATAAATTTCAGGGTATCGAAGAAGAAAAGCAAAACATGCAAAGAAAGGTAGGCAGATTATCGATTTCATATATGGTTCCTTACTGATTTTCTTGGTTTTTATTTTCATTAGCAATTAGGAGATAACAATAGTCGAGTCACAACACCCCAGACCCATCACCATCTGGGGGAATAGGGTGTGGCGATGGTTTCTTATAGAAATGACCCAGGTGAAGTTATTTGTAGGTTGCTACCACTGAAAACTAAGCACTAACATCAGGAGAGCAGAAAATTTAAAATGCCAGCCAAAAATATTCTGAATTTCAACTTTACAAACATTGTTGACGAAATGTCCCTTGTAATATGCGAATTTTATTGGTAGTGGGACTCATTTACCACAGTTTCCGATTCGTCCAACAAACGAGTGGTTCACAATATGATGGCCAAAATCCAAAATGGTGTTAGCAATTGGCGTGGAAAGTATTATTTGAATAGAAATAACAACATACGCGGGTTCTATGTCGATTCGGTGATTTGTGGGAAGCGGTACATGAATATTACATTTCCAAGCTGATAGAACTAATGGGAAAGGGGGTAGAGTACAAATAATGAGCATTTTCGCGACGATATACCTACACATGTAATAATAACTACCATAAATTCTGGACAGCAATGAATCGTATCGTTCATATATTAGTCATAATCACGTGTCTGAGTGTTTTGCGCACTAAAAAATATTAATTATCGACTGAGTTGTTTAATCACCGAGACATAGAGTAAACAATAAAGTCGGTTGCAATATACTCAAAACTCCTACGAAACAATCTTCACAAACAAAGATATATACCAATATAACATTCCTATAATATCGATAAACACATCACTGTATCGAATTCATCCATTCGGATTGATCCAATCTAGATTTATCCATTCGGACAAGATAAATCTCAAACAGGAATGTGTTATCTACTATATATTGGTTCATCTGAGGTACCCATATTCCAGTATGAAACACGTGAGACTACACGTATACATAGAGCGGTTTTAGACACGAGGTTGCATATCTAAATTGATGTTCCAATAAAAGATGCCGCGCAACATCACTAGAAAAAATTCAAAACAACAAACACATCCAAAACAACATAACTACCAAATTCTACAGTAATATCAATATATTGGACAATATTTTCACCCAAAACAATTTTTCAAAACACAAGATTAAATTACAAGATAATATAATTGTAACATTAGGCCACTCAACTAAAACAAAAACTCTGTGTCCGTGGCTAAGAAAATGAGAATAATCGCTTTCAAGAATGGTTGCAAAAATTGGAAACTGGCGGAATTCGGGTATAACGTTTTATATACTTGTATGTTGCATCTTTAACTTTTGCAGGGCACCGAGATATAAATTTTAATACAGCCCAATCAGGGAAAGGTAAGCTGCTAATCGATTTTCATTTTCTTGTCAAGACATAAAATATGTCTTGTCGATATTACTGGAAATGACTGCAAACACATATCCACTAATTCATATGGCGATTAACAATCTTAAAGTTAATTAAAAGAAGTAAAAATAAAGCAGACAGTGACCAGTGATGAAATCTGTACGTAGGATAGACCAGCTGTTGAAAATATAAATAGTTTTGTGCAAATATGTTGATGCAATTTTATCCGTCGTGTACAAACCGGCAGCGATCCCCGTACTATGTGGTAAGCGAGCCAAAACCTGGCTCACTGGACAAACGCGGCTCCAATCTGATTAAAATACACATCTATATACTGTTTAGTTTTTTATACCTTCGATGGCCTCTACTAAATGAAGATTTGACTAGTTGTAGTCGAAGGTCGCGTTAGAGGTAATACGAGCGACGTTAAACCCTATGATGTCAGACATTTGATTAACCAATCAGCGTTTATGTTCCTAGTGGGTTACCCACAGTTCCGTGCACCTCACGCCAAAAACTCGCCGTAAAAGACCGTTTCATTGGTTAATCCCTCACATAATCCAGAAATCAGGTTATACAACAACTCTTTCAGATCCTAGTGTAGTAAAGACATAGAAAATTAAATTTTGAACTATAAAAAACAAAACGAAATAGAATTTGTGTTTTAATCAGATTGAACGCGACTCCCTGTTACAATAATGTTCTCGTGATTAAAGCAAACACAAGGAGTGCAATATGGTTTAAAAATAACGATACTATGTTGATCAAAAAGCTTTAATTATTTTTATTTAAAGATTACCCGTACATGAAGTACAGCGATTATAAAGTATGGAGGAAAAACAATAATGTGTTGAGTCAGTATGTTATGGATCATTTTAATGACGTAAAGACTGGACTGTTACGAACAAATCTTGTTACTGCTGATAGCCTTAAGGATTTGGCCAAGGACAACCCATTTAACGATGCAAATAAACTTGTAGACTTGTTAACGGAACGTGGAGAAAATGCTATGTCTATAATAGTAGAAACCTTCAAAGAGTTTGATGGACTGCAAGAAATTGCAGTCAAGCTAGACAAAGGTTTGTGTATTATTTTCAAGGCAATTACTTTCTAAAGATCTCTTTTACGAAATAAAGTAAAACTTCAAAGTAAATTCATGCTTTATACTTTTAAAGGAGCTAATAATAATAATAATAATACTTTTAAAAAAACGCGTAGAATGGAATAAGCGGGCGGAAACGGCTGCCTCTCAGTTTGGACGGTTGAAGTATTTCACCGGACATAATTGATTATAAATTACAAAAACATTTAAACATTGAATATAAATAACTGCATAATTATGCATTCACATTACATTAATATTAAAATATGCTTTTAGAACCATTTTCGTCTATCTTAACGTTCCAAGGAATAGAGTCATACGCATTTGAAAGTCTTTGGATCCAATCGTAATTGTTTTTATTTGTTCCTGTCCGTTAGACTTGTCTAAAGATGAAAGAATGAAAGATGAAGACTACACACTATGGACGAAAAATTACCCAACGCTGGTTTTAAATGTTATGGACGCCCTTCCAAAACTAACAAATGAACTTTCTAAAAGAGAGATTATTGATGACATGGATATGAAGGACTTTGGTATACATAGAGCTGTAGGTAAACGTACAGGTGCAATCAAGCTTCTAAACATTTTAAGTCAGCGAGGAAAGAATATCCTACCAGATATAAACGAAGCGTTAGAAGCTTGTGGAATACCTAAAGTAGTGAAATCTAAATCAGGTAACCACACAGCATACAATTCTTTCTAAAGCTTTATTGAAATAGCAATGGGTTAAGAATATGCCAGTCAGGTTTAACTTTATTAATAAAGTAAGCGAAACTCTCGGTCATGTTACATAAGGGACATGCAATGATTGGACACAAGTCGGTTTATGCAGTTCTTTCTACAGCTTTGTCAAATGGCAGTCGGTTACTAATATGCAAGTAACAATTAAATTTTAAAGTTAGTTATGTAATTAATGGATTACTATTTAGACTTTTGTTAAAGAGTACACTGGCGTGTGCACATAACGCAAAAATAATCAAGATTACCATGCAAGAGCTAAATCTGATTATTGGAGGTCTTTCGATAGTACTTAAGTGTTATATAAATTATTAATTAACTGACCAAGACCATAATCAACTCCCGGTGTCATCGGATGCTAGAATGTTTCAACAGATTTAATTTAAAAATGGATAATCAAGACTTTGTTTATGATCTTCACAATGGTGGCAATGACAATTAAGGCTATGCTGTTTATATAACGGTGATAACTCGGCTTAGAGTGAAGTAATTTGACTGAAATGTTTAGCATATTCCCTTTGCATTATCTCTGTTTTAACTGCCAGCTCTTTATCTTACATAATAGCTTTTTACGTTGTAGTTAAACTTTATATTGTATATGCTCTTACACGTTATATTTAATTCTTATTTGGCTTGATCGGACTTTAATATGTCCTATAAGAATAAACATTTTGATAATAAATGCCACAATATAAAACATTATGTAAAAACTTCTCGAAATTAAGACTTAAAGAATAATAGGCAAACTACAACAATTGGTATTTGTTTAAGGTACATCGCAAACTACATCGATGAAACACAGGCACTATATGGTATGGGCGAAAAATGAAAAAGAATTCATGGTAGCTGCCAGAGAGAAAATTGATATTTTAACAACTAAACTGGTTGAAGGAAATATTATTAATGTCGATGATGAAAGTGAAATTACTTTGGGTAAAAAGATAAGCGGGTGGAATAGTGTGTGTATACTTGTAAAGATTCTCGTTGAACGTGGTGAAGATGTCCTTCTGGATATTATTAATGTACTCAAGTCGATGACAAACCATGGGTTTAGTGACGTAACACAGAAACTAGAAACTGGTAAGTCTGCATAATAATTATAAACGATTATTTCAAAATCAAATATGAATGTTACTAATCTAAATCTGGATTTCGGGTATCAAAGCGAAAAGCTAAAAACTGAAACGTCACCCATTATGTCCGGATGTTTATAAATGGTCATCAGGACTTCCATAAGATGTTGATAAAAACCTTTGGGTCCAAAATGTTACCTGACACTCTTACATAGCATAACGGAAAGGTCGTATTCGAACAAAACAATCGGGATTATGAAGAACAAGGGACACTATTAATGATTGGGAAAATTACATATTATCTATTCTGGAATAGGATCTAACAAATTGTTTTCGGTGCTTTTAGATTTATCCCGTATCGGACGAATGAAAGATGACCACTACCGGGTGTGGCAAGACAATGGCACCTTTGTAGTGAAAGACACGCAGTTCATTCTGACAAATGTAATTAAAAAATTACTGGAAAGACAAATACTAGAAAATGTTGATTTACAAGAGATAGAATTACATCAAAGCATTAGTAGACGAGCAGGTGCTATTAAATTGGTAAATATTTTAAGTGAACGAGGGGAAGATGTTTTACCAAATATAATAGAAGCTCTTCGATCTGGTGGATTTGTAACGGTTGCACAGAAACTTGAATCAGGTAAGAATAAGAGTATTTCCTAAATGAATATAAATAATAGTTCCTAAATGAATATAAATAATAGTTCTTAAATGAATTTGAATAATATTTCTTACGTGAATTTAAATACTATTTCTTAAATGAATTTAAACAATATGTCATAAAGAATGGTTGTTAAATGCGTTTAAACATAATACACATTATTAATTTTCCAGATCTATCCCGTTTCGAAAGAATGAATAACTGGCATTATCTGGTATGGCAGGCGAATAATGGTTATCTGCGGGAAGGTTTAAAACCACATTTGGACACTTTAAAAGAAAAATTTAGATCCTCTAATATATTGGACGTTCATGATTTGAAGACAATTGAGAAAGCTGAAAAAGATAACAAGTCTGGTGGGTCAGCAAAACTGGTGGAAATGTTGGGCGGCCGAGGCAAAAATGTCCTTTCAGCCATAATCATGGTCTTAGAGCAATATATGCCGGAAATAGCCGAAAAACTAAAATCAGGTATATTATAAGTATTCCACACTATTATTCAGTATAAGCCTATTCTGATCACGTATCAGGATGGTCGTAAATCACCAAAAGATTACGCATGGATTATCATTCAAGATTTATCACATGCCAAGGCTGTTCAGAGAAGGATATGAGGAAAGTTGATTTAGAATTGCATATGCCATTAATGGTTCCCATACACAGCCCCACGAAAAAACAAAATTTCACCCTTTGAATGTACATAGAGGTTGCACGTTTATAAACATTTATAGATTAGAATTATGAAATCTTAAGTTTTGGAATTGAAAGTTTATCGGGAGATATACAAGGGATTATTTATAGTGTACGTGGCTTAGAATTCCCAAATATAAATGCTATCTTTAATCAGTCCTTAATCAATTTTATATACGTTTTCCGACCTGCACAGTGTTTTGTATGTATTGTCGTGTGTGAGCATATGGAGTCGTAACGCAAATGATATAGCCAGAGGAAGTTCTACGAAACTGAAAACATTAGCTTGAAATAATACCTATATTTTGTTTTGTAAGTTTATTTTTATCATTATTTTTCAGATCTTTCGAGATTTGAACGACTGAATTATCCTCACTATAAAATATGGGAAGACAATCGGAAAAGCATAATAAAAAGTGTCGAAAAGAATATTTTTCAGTTGATAGATAAGTTGCATGCTGAAAAGATTCTAGTTGACAAGGATAAAGATGACCTTCAAAACGGCACGTGTAAAGAACGATCAACTGAACTGGTAAACCGGTTGAGATTTCGTGGCAAGGATTCACTACCACGTATAATAAAAGTGATGAATGCCTGTGATCTGAAAGAAGTAGCCAACAAATTGGAATCAGGTATTTTATTTTTATTCTGAAAACATTTCATGCCCGTTGTACCGATGAAGAGCGTAGGAATTATATAAATGGCTGTTAGGGCTAAACTCCTAATGAACATCGGGTCGTCCGGTTAACTCCCACTGCTACTGACCTTAAGTAAAACTGATTGTGGGTTAGAATCTAATACAAAATGAAGAAGGGTTTATCGTCCTACTTTTCTTCCCCACCCGGGCTAACGAGAGAGAGAGAAATGGGGTTTAACGTCCACTCGTCACAGACTAGATCTTTTCGAGACTAGCATATGGTTTAGTATTTTATTTCAATAATTCGCTTGCTCGAAGGGGTCTTTAGCAGTGGGAGGAAACCGAAGGGCCCGGAGAAAACCTACGAGGCTGGACAGGCAACCCTACTCCTTGCCACGTACAACCGGGGCTAACGAAAACGGGCGTATCATGTTATAGATCTAGAGTGGGCATTCTGTTCGTTATTGTCAACGTTCTCAGTTATCAATTATATGCTACAGGCAATATACATTAGTATTCCAGAACTCATCTGTTAAATAAATAAAATAAAACCAAGTACGAACAATCCAAACCATAAGACAGAACTCGAAGTCCTAAAAATCGTTATAGGCAAAATAGTGTATTCAAGCAAAATAGTGTAATCAGCAAATGGACTGCTCCTCGTGCTCGTGTCTGGTCCCAAGTTAACTTCTAGACGCCCCGTCCTAGCCTCGTCTCCCGGTTTCGTTTCAATTATTGGTTTATAAAGCCCCCGAGACAAAGGATCTTATCAGTCATCTGGCTACTGCTTCATATACGATTTAACATTCAGTACAGCTTGCTTATAAGACGGGGATCACGTGGGTAAGACGCTGGCTCGCTAGTCTGGAGGTCGGGTGTTCGATCCCTGCATTGGCCGATAAAGTTCATCCAGATTTTCCGGCGTGGTGTCCCCTTGCCAGTGATGCAGGACGGAGGGCATGACAAGGACGAAACACCGAGGTCCCGTGTACACATTGGCGTGCATGTAAAAGATATCTTGGCAGTTGGAATTCGATATAAGAGTAGGCCGTAGCGCGGCTGCCCGGGCAAAATTTCCCTCATAGCACACTGTATGGTATGCCCGTATTCATTAAGCCAGTTTAGGAGCAGAACAGTAGGACGTTAAACCCCATTTCATTTCATTTCTGCTTATAAGACAAAAAGATATCGAAGAGACAATACAGTTTTGGATATTTATTGCATCATAACTCAGGCCAGGGGTAGTAACTAATGACTTCCACGTGGCCGTTGGCCGTGTCAGACTAGTGCCAATGTCATTATCTGATAAGGTTAATCGATTTCATTTGTGGGAGGTGTTTATTGACATTTTTGTACATACTCTCCAATTATGTAACAAATAGCGATATCCGTTAATATTTCATATCATGTTATAAATGAATTGTAATGGGATTAAACGTGTACTTTTCTGCTCTGATATTTCTAATGAAGACGGGTATATCATGTTACAGGTCTAAAACCATAATGGCTAAAGAACAATCTGTTCGTTCATTGTCAACGTTATCAGTTATTAATTTTATGCTACAGGCAATATATATTAGTATACTAATATTAGTATACTAGAATTGTATGTAATAAACAGTAATAACTCGAGATATTCGTGTTATTTCTCACTAAATTAATTAGTTCACTTGTTAATAATAATAGAATGTATAGTAGATTTGTTTAACATACTTGGCTTCACACATTGTGCTACACAGTTCATTCGAGAAACATTTTGTTATCTTCACCAGTCCACCACTATATCAAATGTTTCTTATACGTTTCGTTTTAATCAGTGCTTTAAACACATTCTTTAATTTTCAGATTTGTCGCGATTCGAACAAATGGATGAACTCCATCATGTGATATGGGAATATAATAAAACGTTCTTGATCGACAATATCAAAGATAAGTTGCCTGAGATAACGGAAGAGCTGTTGTTGATAAAGATTATAGATAAGGACGACCGTGAGATAATTACCAAGGGTAACAACGACGAAGGTGCTAGAGAACTGTTTGATTTGTTGAGTTACCGTGGTAAAGATATCCTATTAACAATAATAGACGTACTGAGGAGAGTTGATCTTGGTCAGGTAGCAGATAAACTAATAAAAGGTATTACTTTCTTGATATTTGAATATTCGCCTTTAGACAAAAAATGCAATTTCCTATCTAAGATATCCTCATATTCAAAATAATGTCGCATTCTTATCCAAAATATACGAACCGAAAAGCTAAATTAATTAATGTACTTTTAGAAACAGTAACAGAGAATGATAGAGAATGGATTGTAGATTTGTTTAACATACTCATATTGTGCTATACAGATCATTCGAGAAACGTTCTGTTATCCGCACCAGTCCCTGCTTCTAGGTTATATACCCAAAATATCTCATGTTTCTAATACGGTTCCGTCCTGATCATTGCCTTAAACACATTCTTTGGGTATTCAGATTTGTTGCGATTCGAACAGATGGAGGAACGGCATCAGGTGATATTGGAAAATAATAAAACGTTCGTGATCGAGAATATCAAAGAAAAGTTTTCGAAGATAACGACCGCGCTGTTGGAAATGAAGATTATAGATATGAACACAACAGTTCTATGGATAACAATTACTATATTTAATTAAAGCTACGTTTCAACAATGATTCTCTTGTCGTTATCAAGTTTTAATGTGTTCAATTACTAAATGCCATTCAAACAGTATTATAGATATGGACGATCGTGATATAATTACCAAGGTTAACAGCGAGGAAGGTGCTAGAGAACTGTTTGATTTCTTGCGTTACCGTGGTAAAGATGTCCTATTAACAATAATATACATATTGAGAAGAGTTGGTCTTGGTCAGGTATCAAACAAACTTGACAAAGGTATTACGTTCTAGATATTTTAACATTCGCGTCTAGATACTAAATGTAATCACCTTTCTAAGATATCCTCAGTTTCAAAATAAAGTCGAATAATTATTCAAAATATACAAGATGAACTGCTAATAGTAAAGCCTTTTATCGATCCTTCGTTGAACCCTGCAGAAAACGTCAGCCCTCACTGCAAATCTCGAATGTCAGTTTAAATAGCTGCATGTGGATGTTTAAATTGCCATTAGTCTTTAGATAAAGATTCCCATCTCTATTGTTCAGTATTATGTTATCCCTCGATAAAATGTCCCCCCCCCCCAATAAACTAATAGTCACTGTACCGCTTTGAATTTGATAGGGCACCTCAATTTAAAAATATACATTCATGAGACGGTTGTTTTTATTTCGTAAACGTATTGGCCAATTAAATGATTTGATTATGGTTGGCTGAAATAAATAGAACTGGTGGAGTTAAACTCAGAAGAAAATTGTTTCAAATGAATAAAATAATATTATTCATTAAAGTAGTTAAGTCTCTAACTCAATATCATCCAAAGTCTTACACGTTAAGAACGCGAATTAGTTGTCAATTCAAATCATCATTGATGTCGGGATCTTACCGGGAACAGGTAGGCTTCTAATATCCAATATTTAAGACAAAATAAGCATTTTACCATTGGTACACGAATCGTGTACCATAGTGCATTTCAGCGTCATTTGTAACAAGTGACCAGAAAGAACGAGGCTAGACATATTCCACATCTCATGTCAAACAGTCACGCCATTTTTTATCTCTAGAGCATGCGCAATAGACTGAAATAAATAACCAGACGCTAGAAATAGCCATTAGGTTGAGACTCATGCCGTATATAGCTGGACGTAACTGATTTGAAATTAGAGTCAAAACGGAAACAACTGAATGTAAATCAGTTTATATACAACCAGATTACATTATTATATGCGTTGCGACCCATTTAGGTCAATGTCGAAGTCCCAAATATCATTGATTTAGCTCCTTTAAAATATACATTTGTTATCACTGGATTCACCTATGAGTATGTTTATGTGGTTTCAGATGTAAATCTCGAAGAAGAACCCAAAGACACAGATAACCTCCTGCAACAAGAAACAACATCCGTCTAAATTAAAGACTTCATGACGATATCATTGCTAGATTGTTTAAACGCTATAAAATTTAAGTACAAAGGGAAATGGTATCCAAAATATAACAGTGAATCACGATGAGATCAATGAAGATTTATCCTGAATGTGAAACATTCTCTTTAACCACACCCATTGATTTTATCAGTCTAAAGAGAATTGGTATTATCACTCTCAATACATGTTTTTATTGTACTAATTACCTACCATTAGGATTAAAGAATTATATTATTTTAATCTGTAAGGTTAGATTATTTTTATACACTTTTAATTATATACTTTGCATTATAATATTAATTATAATATTTCTAGTTGACACTTCTATATGTGGTTTGATGGTCTGGTCAAGACATTAAGTGAAACATCGAAACTATACCACGTGTTCATTTCACACGATTCAAAAATATCCTAGGATAATATAATGTACGATTTGACATAGTCATACGTCAACATCAAAGGATGACGCCACATATCTATTTTAAAGTGGTTAAATTTCCACAATTTATATATTCCATTTAGTATTGCTTCTTTATATATTCCAATTATTATTGCGATTGAATTGTTTTATTTCATTGGGTTGTCATGTTGGACTTATTATAACATGTTTATTTTAGTACATTATATCTGTTGTTGTTTTGAATAATACAGTGTATGCCATTTATCTCATTTTATTACTTTAATGTTGATTATATCCATTACAGCTCTGTCCGAAATTGCAACAAGATTATCGCCCTTATTGTTTAGAAATGTTTCGTTCAGCAGCCGACCACCGTCAGGACCCCTCGCATGATTAACATTAAAAGAGGATGTGTTCCCTTTGCAGTGAAGCCTGAATCATTGCAGACCCTGGATTTGATATTACGTTTAGCTTACAACGTTGTGTTCTGGTTTTGTTTGGTTCGGGTTGGTTTCTATACATGTAACACAAACATTTTAAACAGTAATGCACTGTACAATTCTAAAATTTATTTGTTGACGACAAACACGTGTATCTAAATTAGTGTTGAATAGTTATGAGGTTAGGTATGTGTTCTAAATAATGGCTATTGTATAATGGGATGGGTCTGACTTGGCTACCATGATGTTAGGGCTTGTTCGCATACTATGTCGCGGTTTGTGCTCATATTATTTTAGATTTGTTATATCATGTGGCGGTTTGTGCTCATATTATTTTAAATTTGTTATTTTATGTCGCGGTTTGTGTTCATATTATTTTAAATGAATTTTGTTATGAATTATTGTAAACTAATGCTTAGAATGATGCTTAAAATAAACAACTTATTATTGAATAGTTGGTATATTTACTGTCTTCAAGGGTAGTTTCAATGCTTAAAATCCGTTTAAAAAAAAAATATGCCGAGGGGCAATAATATCTGATGTTGTGATGTTACTAGTTCCTGACTTCCTGTCGTATTATTTCAACTGTTCAACACAGATTTGACTTCAATGCTATTTTTGCCTCTTTGCACGTCTCTAAATTGGTTTCAAAATTTCGATGGGGTAAACGTTTTCTACAACATGTAGACAGAGCAAAACGTTCTTATACAATATACATGTACGCCAATGGGCACATGTACGCCAACGGTCCCCAGTTGTTCGTCACGCCACGCTGCACTATTTGTTGCGAACACGGGGTGTCCAGGTTACCTAGCCAACTTCTTACTCACTTAGCCGCTACGTTCTGTACCCACTGGGTACCCAGAAGACGAACAGATGTCAGGGGCGGATCTAGGAATGTTTCGAACACGGGGTGTCCAGGTTACCTAGCCAACTTCTTACTCACTTAGCCGCTACGTTCTGTACCCACTGGGTACCCAGAAGACGAACAGATGTCAGGGGCGGATCTAGGAATTTTGAAAAGGGGGGGGGGCGCAAAATGAGGGCACTGACCACGGAGCCATTCCAAGAGCTATTTGGCTGATATTTTCGTCTAAGTAAACGTTCGGAAATCGTTGAAAAAGAGCCTTAAAATCGAGCAAAAAAGCCAGTTGAACATGCGACTCGAAAATTGTCAAGGCGAGCGAGGCATTGTGATGGGAAACAAGACGAATCTATTCCCTAGCCACTTCACTATTTAAGCCTTGCAACTTGTACTTTGTACTGTCCACACATGAAACAATGCTACATCAAGTTGCACTCATGCCCGTCGGTGATGGACATGAGTGTATACGCCGCCGATTCCACAAGATGTCTGTCTATAGTCACTCTATAGGATTAGGGCACCGTCAGCTAAACAACAAGAATTCGTTTGAAAGTGGAAGCATTAATTAGACCAGACTGGTGTGTTTGAATCGATGGTTTGAGTCATTTTGGATCCCTGCAACGGGTTGGGAACGGACATATTTGTGTCTGAGAAAAGGCACTTTCAGCAGTAAAAAAGGGCACTGTCGAAAATTAGGGGGGCGCGCGCCTGTCGCGCCCCTCGCCCCCTTGAATCCGCCTCTGGATGTGGTATCGGACGGCGTAACAGTACCGAAGCCATACGAATACCATCATTCGAGAGCAATCTGTATAAATAGGAGCATATAATCAACTTACTTAGACCGTACTTTTCTAAAGAAAGATTGGATTGCAGCGGAGCTAAGATCTCTCTTTTTACTTTGAGTACGATCGAAATCGATCTTTGAAGGAGCTTTCCCAACAAACCCATCCCAGTGTTTTGTGCATATTAATCATAGATTGATGATCAAGAGCAAGCAATTCATTGAATAATGTTGTATTCGAGGCCATTAAACAACTTATAATACAAATAAACTATCTCGTGCGTGCATTTCAGTGAAATTGTGACCTTTAGCACTTTACCCGTGCCATTGTGTTATGGTTAACCACCTCACAGCCATAATGCTTCACACCAAATGTTAAAACGTGTAGCTTCTATCGCATTAACAAACGGTTCTCAGAAACGGGGCAAAGTAATTCCAAAACGGAAAGTCACGTAACGATGAATATCGATACGGCTCGTCCCCTGGTGAACCCAATGCTTCACAACAAATTTGGATTAAATCTGTTAAAACCTGTAGCATCTGTCGCGTTCTCAAGGCTTTCCATAAAGGTGAGGTAACTCTTGATTTGAATAACGTGGGGTACAGAATATCAATATAATAGGCTTTGTCCTACCTTGGCCCGAATGCTTCACGCAAGACTTTTGGCCTTTGACATCTCAGAAGTAGGTTAATCCCCACAATTGACTACTCAGAAAGATTGATGTTGCCCCAAGGGGTCCTAGGGAATAGTATTGAACTTCTCTACTGAGGTATGCATTTAAGTTGTATTAGGCAGAGGACCTTTGACCTACACAAAAGTGAGTTAATCCCCAACCTGGACTACTTCTATGGATTTATATTGCCATTACGGATCCTTACAGACATTGTGACACAGGTTTTGTGGATGTACTCTACTAATACCAATCCTCAAACATTTTGTACTTGAGAAGTTAATTGAATATTTGCCCCTGGATTAATTCATTCATTCTGTCCAACTTAAGGGGAGCCAACAAGACGTTTGCTTTAAAAACCTTGAACAATTAAACTGCCGAGAAATTTCAAATTATACATGCACTTTATCAATCCCTTAGAAATATTCCCGTCGAGGAATCGAATCCTCGCCACTTGACCCAATGATAGACCTTATGATATAACGTGTTAAACCATTCGGCCATCCAACACCAAAGCAAGGTTTCATAAACATATCCTTCAGTCCATTTTAAGGTGTAGAATAAATTATTTGCCAGTTGTAGCATTATGCGTCGCTATAGCACAGTTCGGCAACCAAATCAAATATATCATACGATGGAGTTGTAAGATGTGAAAAGGCCAACTGTCAAAAACTCCTCACATCCAACGTGTGACGCATACTCTCTCATCTTCTACATGTTTTATTAGCCGTGTGATCGTCTATTATTGTCTCTCCTTGTATTTTTAATTCTTTAACTTATTAGGGCGCATTTTTAAATGTTTCTTTAATATCTCACGTTGTGTATATCTTTTTATTAGCCCCCTAAAATATCGTATGACTAACAAACATGATGACGGGAACAAAAGTACGGATTCTACAGTTTTATATCAAGCAAGATACATAGGTTAAGAACATAGATCAATAATAAAGTCAGTATCATGGTGTTGGCCAACAGTCTCTCCCAACGAAATGATATTTTCTTGCACATCTCGATTGTTTTATATGACTTGATTTTTGCTACTTAGTATTTAATTGGTCAAATATTATTAATTAATTATGATGATTCGTTATTAAGCCTATATAATGACCACATGACTAAGCCAAATATGGATTGGACATACCTCTTACCTTCCATACCAATATGTGGAATATAACAAATGTGTTTATTAACCTAAAAAGTTCAATTCATGTAGATTCCTGTTGTTTCTCGTGTTATATTACTTGTCTATGAATCTGCAAACTATAATTAGTCTATTCGTTTTTCAAAATCCAAGACTGTCTGCATGCATTTCTGTCAGAAACGTGGTTTGCATCCAGATCCAGAACTTTATTTGGATGGCAACCGCTTTCCAGTTGTGGATGAAACCAAAATTCTGGGGCTGATATTCGATAAGAAATTATCATTTATCCCCCACATTAAAAGCCTAAAAAAGAAATGTCTGAAAGTCCTCAACATATTGAGAGTCTTATCAAATACTGACTGGGGAGCAGACCGTAAGGTCTTGCTCCGATTATATCGAGCTTTAATAAGATCAAAACTCGATTATGGGTGTATGTGTATGGGTCTGCCCGCGAGTCTTATCTCAAAGAGGTCGACACCATACACAACCAAGGACTTAGAATCAGTTTAGGAGCATTTCGTACATCTCCAGTGGACAGTTTATACGTCGAGGCACATGAGCCCTCACTGCACAACAGACGTGATAAACTGGCCCTGCAATATGCTACGAAAATAGCATCTTTACCAAATCATATTTCATTTAACACCATATTTAGACCATATCATGAGCATCTATATCTGCTTAAGACTAAAGTTATTCCACCTTTCGGTATTCGCATACAACCCCTTTTGTCTGAGGCTGGTATCAGACTGGACAGTATTGCGAATACCCCTTTCTTTAGGACTCCACCGTGGGCTATATCTCCCCATAAGATTGATTTCGATCTTACACAACATAAAAATAGAGATACTAGCTTCACGGTGTTTCAGTCTCTCTTTCGAGACCTAAGGTCTAAATATGGTGATTATGCTCCAATATATACAGATGGTTCGAAAGATGGTGATCGGGTAGCTTCGGCTACCGTCACACCATCTGAGACCATTTCTGTCCGCCTTCCACCTGCTGCTTCCATCTTTACAGCTGAACTCCAGGCCATTCTTCAGGCTTTGGAGTTCATTCAATCAACATCTGATTTAAAATATATAATTTTTACTGATTCTTTGTCCTCACTACAAGCAATAAATAATAAACAGCTTGAACACCCATTAGTAGCAGACATTTATGGTCTGTTACTATCAAACGAGTTCATCAGCAAGGACATTGTCCTTTGCTAGCTCCCCAGTCACATGGATATAAAAGGGAATGATCAAGCAGATTTGGCTGCCAAGTCTGCCTTAGATCTTCCCTTTTTCGAATTTTTAACGCCATACACGGATTTTAAATCCTGTATAAATAATTTTATTTATGACCGCTGGCAACGGTCTTGGGATCTTGCAGGCACAAACTTCATCACATAAAGCCTCTCCTTGGAGAATGGCCAAGCTCCTACAGGTCTAACAGGACAGATGAAGTTGTTTTGTGTCGCTCTCGAATTGGTCATACTTTTTTAACTCACATTTTCATTTTGAAGCGAGAGCCTCAACCGGAACGTGTTCACTGTCATGTTCCTTTGACAGTGAAACACATCTTGATTGAGTGCAAACATCTCAAGTATGTTAGATCTAAATACCACCGTTGCCAGTCAGAACGTCAGCTATTTGCTCAACCGGAGCTATATGATAAAGTGCTAACATTTTTAAAAGAGAAAAATGTTTATTCTCAATTTTAATTGTATATATTTAATCATGTATATCGTTTTAAATATTTATATATGTAAAAGATTTGTTATATTTATTTTTAATTAATATATTTTCTGTGATATTTGTTTTTATTTACATATATAAATTCATTTTTGTGATATTGTTTTAATTTGTCTCGTTAGATTCACCATATGTTTGGCGCAATATAGCCCGGTTGGAGCTGACGTGCCATTAAACAACATTTCATTTCATTTATAATTAGTCTAGGCAATGATATTATTATACATATATGTTTTTTTGCACAAATCCCACCAT